AAACATCACTCAAACAATTTTTCAAGGGGGTAGTCCATGAGCAACCCTGATACACAATAGTGTGGTTTGTTTGGAGGGTACACTATTGTGTCCAGCTGCTTCCTGAGGTGATTTTGTTTTTTTTTGCAATCATTTCCTTTACCTTTTCCTTTGCTAAAGTTTTTTCCTTTTAATTAATTAATTACTTCTTAGTTTCTTTCATTTGATATTCTCAGAAATGCCCAGTTTCCCAAAATATATGATGCCTTACTAAAAACCCAATTAAAAAACATCACTCAAACAATTTTTCAAGGGGGTAGTCCATGAGCAACCCTGATACACAATAGTGTGGTTTGTTTCGAGGGTACACGTCCAGATGCTTCCTGGTGTGATGTTTTTTTCAAGCATTCCCTTTACCTTTTCCTTTGCTAAAGCTTTTTTCTTTTATGGTATTTCTATGGTATTACTATTGGATTTCTATGGAATTCCTATGGGGTTTCCATGATGTTTCTATGATATTTCTGGAGGATTTCTGTGGGATTTCTGAAGGGGTGCTATGGGAGTTCTATGGTATTCTTATGGGATTTCCATTGGATTCCTATGGGAATTCTATGGTATTTCTATTGGATTCCTATGGAATTTCTATTGGATTCCTGTGGGATTTCCAAGGTATTTCCATGATGTTTCTATGATATTTCTATGGGATTATTATTGGAATTCTCATGGGATTTCTTTTGTGGTTCCTATGCTATTCCATGTTATTTCTATGATCTTTCTATGGTATTTCTGTGAGATTCCTATGGGATTTCCATGCTATTTCTATGATATTTCTTTGGGACTACTATTGGATTTCTATGGGATGTCGATTGAAAGTAAATTGGCAGTAAAATGCAATCAATTGAAATCAATTGAAAGTAAATTGAAACCAATTGAAAGTAAATTAAAATCAATTCAAAGTAAATCGAAATCAATTGAAAGTAACTTCAAATCAATTGAAAGTAAATTGAAAGTAAATTGAAACCAATTGAAAGTAAATTAAAATCAATTCAAAGTAAATTGAAATCAATTGAAAGTAACTTCAAATCAATTGAAAGTAAATTGAAAGTAAATTGAAAACAATTGAAAGTAAATTGAAATCATTTCAAAATAAATTGAAATCAATTCAAAGTAACTTCAAATCAATTGAAAGTAAATTGAAATCAATTGAAAGTAAATTGAAATCAATTCAAAGTAACTTCAAATCAATTCAAAATAAATTGAAATCAATTGAAAGTAAATTGAAATCAATTCAAAGTAACTTCAAATCAATTCAAAGTAACTTGAGATCAATTGAAAGTAAATTGAAACCAATTGAAAGTAAATTAAAATCAATTCAAAGTAAATCGAAATCAATTGAAAGTAACTTCAAATCAATTGAAAGTAAATTGAAAGTAAATTGAAACCAATTGAAAGTAACTTCAAATCAATTGAAATTAAATTGAAATCAATTCAACATGAATTGAAATCAATTGAAAGTAAACTGAAATCAATTCCAAGTAACTTGAAATCAATTGAAAGTAACTTGAATCCAATTGAAAGTAACTTGAGATCAATTGAAAGTAAATTGAAATCAATTGAAAGTAAATTGAAATCAATTGAAAGTAACTTCAAATCAATTGAAAGTAAATTGAAATCAATTTAATTCTAATTCAAATCAATTGAAAGTAAATTGAAATCATTTCAAAATAAATTGAAATCAATTGAAAGTAAATTGAAATCAATTCAAAATAAATTGAAATCAATTGAAAGTAAATTGAAATCAATTCAAAATAAATTGAAATCTATTGAAAGTAAATTCAAAACAATTGAAAGTAAATTGAAATCAATTCAAAATAAAGTGAAATCAATTGAAAGTAAATTGAAATCAATTCAAAATAAAGTGAAATCAATTGAAAGTAAATTGAAATCAATTCAAAATAAATTGAAATCAATTGAAAGTAAATTGAAATCAATTCAAAGTAACTTCAAATCAATTCAAAATAAATTGAAATCAATTGAAAGTAAATTGAAATCAATTTAAATCTATCTTTTTTTTTTGATTTCACCGTATTGCGTACCCGGTACCTTTTTTTTTCCACACTATTCTGTATCCAAAATTTGTTTAGGGGGGGGGGGGCCTCCCCACAGTAATCTGTAACCTACATTATTTATACTGATTGGTTGATAGGGATTCGTTAATGGATTGAGATATTTTCCCAATACATTGGTTGTTATAATCCCCTATAGCCATCAATCAACCAAGCCGAGATTGTGAACGCTGCTCACATGATTTTCATTGCCGGACTGGAGAACACCACCGGATAGCACCATGGATCTGGGGGACTACATTGGGTTTCAAACAGTTTTGGCAACTAATGCTGTAACATGCTGTAAACTAATCCCTTCCCTCTGCTATTGAATATGCCCTTAAAAAAACATGTCCTGTGGCTGGGTCTTTCCATTTTGGTCCCATACAGGTATGCCACATGATCAGGGGATTGGATTTTATATCCGTTGCTCATCAGCATCATCATCATCATCATAATCATCTTATTCTTCTTCATCATCATCATCACCATCATCATCATCATCAGCATCATCATCATCATCACCACCATCATCATCATCTTCAGCATTATCACCACCACCATCATCACCATCATCATCATCATCATCATCAGCATCATCATCATCATCATCATCGTCATCGCCGTCGTCATGGTCGTCGTCCTCCTCCTCCTCCTCATCATCAACACCAGCATCATCATCATCATCATCATCATCACCACCATCATCATCATCATAATCATCACCTTCATCATCATCACCACCAACATCATCATCTTCATCATCATCATCATCATCATCTTATTCTTCTTCTTCATCATCATCACCACCATCATCATCATCTTCATCATCATCACCACCATCATCATCATCTTCTTCATCATCAGCATCATCATCATCATCCTCGTCGTCATCGCCGTCGTCGTGGTCGTCATCCTCCTCCTCCTCATCACCACCATCATCATCATCAGCATCATCATCATCTTCTTCTTCATCATCGTCACCACCATCATCATCATCATCACCACCTTCATCATCATCACCACCACCATCATCATCTTCATCATCAGCATCATCATCATCATCATCATCATCTTCTTCTTCTTAAAAAAAATAAATCACCAAGCTGAAATTACGCAATTTTGGGAGAGTTACTCCTACTGACCATCATTGGAGGTGAGCTACGTCGCAGTCAAGCCCAAGGCGCTCCCATCATATCCCTCTTCACTTCAGTATATTCTTATCCCACCAAAAATATATCTGCTGATTCTCGCACCATTGAAGCTAAACAAGCTTCAAAATCTCATGATATTCCCATACCCCACGATTATTGCCATGAATTAGTCAACATTGTGGAAGACCCACTGCTATTAAATTAATCATTACTAATATCGCAATCATTTTGATCATCAACCATTAACCCCACTATTATTGATCATTATATTAACTTATTATCCAATATACAATTTGATAGCCGTTCTGCAGCCACAACTTATCAGTCTTTCATCAGTCTTCAGGCCGTTGCTCGCGCCTATGCCTCGCCAACAGCACATGGCCAGTCTCGTGGACGGCCATGGCCCGACGGAAATATTTGAAGCTGGAAACTGCGGTGGAGCATGGGATGCTGTTGCTATAGCTGGGGGTCCAGTGCCGGCGAAAAGTTCTCTCTCTCTCTCTCTCTCGCTCTCGCTCTCTCTCTCTCTCTTTCTATGCATATATATATATATATGTTATATATAAATATATGTGTGTGTACCATATTTTAACATAGCTATGGAGGTTATATCTAGTTAAGTGGACTCAAGTGGAAACATTTTACCATGGTTTCAGAGGGTTTATTTCACCATAGTTACAGGGGCTATATCTATATGTACTAATCAGAACCGCAGTCATATACCTGGGCCATGTACGTTTACAATATTTATTTTTTGGTTGGATATTAAAATATAGCTATCATGTGGTTGGGAAACTCTTAGTTCCTTGTCTCCCATTTAATAGGGAATATGGATACCCGTAGACTGCTCCAATAGCACCTTCGCTCCCTCACCACTGGATCTTTCATGGGGATGCGACCGGTCAGCTGTCGTACCAGCACCACAGTGATTTGCACATTGGCAAACCACTGGATGGGTAAAATCAATTCATGGGGAATCGGAGTCATCAACATCAAGTGATGCGTAAAATCATACTTAAAATCTCCAGCCCGAAATGCCTATAATGGCAGTTTTACTTGGAAACTCATCGAAAAATAAGGTGACAATCCACAACTGCCACGTTCGATGACACGAACGTCAGCGATTCCGGGACATCGCCGTGCTGAAGTTGGTCAAGTTGGGTTTCATGGGGCCCTTGGATCCCTTGGTCATCCAGCCTCCATAGGAATCCAAAGATCATGGGTAATTAATGGTACTGTAATTACATATATCTGAGTAAATTTTAATATTTCACGAACCTGAATTAAGGCCATTTGGGGATGATTTCCCTTACTACCCATGATTCCAGTGAGGTCGCAGTGAGGTCGTGATGAAATTTACCCAGATATATAGAAAATGATCCATTTGTAGATGGCCATCCCACTGACATGAACCCATGGCTGGTAAAGGGTGCAGATGTGTTTTCAGTCTGGGGCACTTTTCCTCGGCTATTTGCTGCATTTTGTAGCTATAAAATATCTCATTTGCACTGTTCATCGAATTCTCCAGGGATTTTTCCATGGTGTTCATCGATGTTTCCCATGTTTTGGTTTAATGTTGGTAAAACAATAATGTACCATCCCCAATTTCACAATTTTTATGCGTGGTAGTTTACCATTTCCAAATGGGTGGTTGATGATGTTGATAATTCCTCTATTTATAGCGTATTTTCCCATATTTCCCTATGATTTTCCATGATTTCCTATGATCCTACGATCCAAATTGCCTCTTTTGCGCCCTTTTCACGGCACACACTTCATACTTGTGAAAGCGCTAGGAAGGAGAATTCCGTAGAGTCCTGGTGACGAGGATCGAACAAAGGTGGATCACCTGCCAACAATGGGGAAAGAAACAGCAAACATGGCAGATCACGAATATAATTAACATCTGGTTGGTGGTTTACCTACTCCCCTGAAAAATATGAGTTCGTCAGTTGGGATGATGAAATCCCCAATACTGTATATGGAAAAAAATGATCCAAACCACCAACCAGACATCACCATCAAAAAAAGGACATTCATATAATTAACGTTGCAAAATTAATTCACCATCAATTACTTTACTTCGTGTGATCCCCACCATGACATTTTTCTTACTGGCAAATCTTCTGGCATTCTATCTGACATATCTTCTGGCATTCTATCTGGCATTCTATCTGGCATATCTTCTGGCATTTTCTTGTGGCATTCTATCTGGCAAATCTTCTGGCATTCTATCTGGCATTCTATCTGGCATATCTTCTGGCATATCTTCTGGCATCTGACATATCTTCTGGCATTCTATCTGGCATTCTATCTGGCATATCTTCTGGCATTATCTGACATATCTCTGGCATTCTATCTGGCATTCTATCTGGCATCTTCTGGCATTCTATCTGGCATATCTTCTGGCATTCTATCTGACATATCTTCTGGCATATCTTCTGGCATTCTATCTGGCAAATCTTCTGGCATTCTATCTGGCATATCTTCTGGCATTCTATCTGACATATCTTCTGGCATTCTAATCTGGCATATCTTCTGGCATATATTCTGACATATCTTCTGGCATTCTATCTGACATATCTTCTGGCATTCTATCTGGCATTCTATCTTCTGGCATATCTATCTGGCATATCTTCTGGCATATTTTCTGGCATCTGGCAAATCTTCTGGCATTCTATCTGGCATTCTATCTGGCATATCTTCTGGCATCTGGCATTCTATCTGGCATATCTTCTGGCATATCTTCTGGCATATGTTCTGGCATATCTTCTGGCATATCTTCTGGCATTCTATCTGGCAAATCTTCTGGCATTCTATCTGGCATATCTTCTGGCATTCTATCTGGCATTCTATCTGGCATATCTTCTGGCATATTATCTGGCATTCTATCTGGCATATCTTCTGGCATATCTTCTGGCATATCTTCTGACATTCTTTCTGGCACATATTTTCCCATATCCTACATGAGGTCCGGCAGGGAACACTTGGCGTGGATACTCGCGGTTGAGGTCCGGCAGGGAACACTGGGCGTGGATGGTCGTGGTTGAGGTCCGGCAGGGAACACTGGGCGGGATGGTCGTGGTTGAGGTCCGGCAGGGAACACTGGGCGGGGATGGTCGTGGTTGAGGTCCGGCAGGGAACACTCGTGGATGGTCGTGGTTGAGGTCCGGCAGGGCACACTGGGCGTGGATGGTCGTGTTTGAGGTCCGACAGAGAACACTGTGGATCGCGGGTCGCAGTTGGACGAGGAGGACGACGAGGACGAGGAGGACGACGAGGAGGACGAGGAGGACGAGGAGGAGAGGAGGAGAGGAGGAGGAGGAGGACGAGGCAGGAGGAGGCAACTGACATAAAATCTAACAACCCTCACCTGGCAGGTGGGGAAAAATGAAAATGTGACCGGAAGAGGGGAAATCATTGGGATATCAAGGTCGAACTCAGCCAATTCCAATGCGATTTCTTCATCTCAAACTGGGACGATTTGTACAAGTCGTGAGGCCCCCGGCCGTTCGAGATCGCGTTCAGTTGGGGTTCACATAACTCCAATTTCACTATGGTTTATGGTACTTATAACGAACTAGTTACTGGGGCGAATCTAAACCAACTAACATCACTGGGGGGCCTCACATTGTAGTTTCCTGGGAGAGATCTAAACAAATAACGAGACACAATACCTTTTCGGATCTTGTGGCAGATGGGTTTGGTCAAAATTGGGCACCTTCAAATGCCAGGAAATGGTAGCCCCCTTAGGTCTGACTTTTTATCTCATCGCCATATTTGGTCTGGCTTGGGAGGATTAACCCCATGCGTAGTTTCAGGTCGTTTTCAATTAACATTGCCAACAACTGTGTGGAATCATTTCTGGCCCATGTTTCAGCACCATCTAAAAAGACCACATTGGGAGGCCGTATCCCATTCACATAAGTTTTGTTGTTCATTTTTTTTTGCCAAAAGAAACAATTTCAACAGCTTAGCTCAGAATTATTTTTCCAAGCAACTCTTTTGTTTTAAAACATGTATAATTTCAACTGGTAAAATCATCATCTTCCTTTTTATCCCAATATTCCATAATATTTGGATTTGTCTGATAATAGTTTTTCCCATCAATTTCAACTGGTAAAATCATCATCTTCCTTATTATTTAGTAGCGATTTGGGGGTTCATCCCCCTTCCTCACGCCCCACCCCCCTGGGTCCGGCTCAACCTCAAAGAAGTGTCGTCGTACTGCGGCCGCTACATCGTACAGAAAGTGACCCGCACTGGTGGGGCCGTGGTCGATGGGGCAGCGCTTGGTGCCGTCCAATTCGATGACACGGTTCTGCCTCACTGAAGAATTTGGAGATTTTGCTGGGTGACAGGCGGGTAGCAACTGATTGATATATCTGGCTGAATAGTAACCCCTTTCTAGCCATCATTTCACAGTGAGGTCGATATCTATCATTCATTCAGATATATGTATAATTATCCACGTTTGCCCGTGTGTGTATATATATATATTGTATATGTGTGTGTATGTACGTGTGTATACGTTGATATATATATATATATGTTAAGGTATATTATTGGTATTTCATCATAAAATCCCAATTTTTGCTGGTAAAACCATGTCAACTTGGCTACAAGTTGGTTTGTAAGCCCCATTCACTATATAATCATATTGTATCCCCCAATCAACCCTAGAATTCAGCAAGTTATGTGCGCCAACTTAGCCATCGCAAATCAACAATGTCCATGTTTAGTTTGTTAAATCCCAATATAAAGTTGGAGAATATGGATATCACGAGCTCACAAGCGAACCCTCCTGACCACATTTATACATATATCTATGTTACATTGATATGTAGAAATACTAGTCATAAACAGAACAATCTCTTCAATATACAGTATTAATAAAGAACTATCAATACATAGACCTTGTTAATATTTAAGGAACATAAAATCTCTTATGCTATTGGTCGCTCCCCCATGGAAATAATAATTCGGATGATCCTCCAAAAATAAACCCACTACCAAAAAGGCCATGACATCCCCACTTTCCTTGATTATTGCCCCATGGGTTTCCAAAGAAATTTCCCTGGTTTCGCCCAAAATCCTGAATTATTCAATTTGCAATAGAGCGAGAGAGAGAGAGAGATATATATAAGTATGTACACATATAAATAAATGAATATAAATATATAAGATAAATTTATGTACACATTTATTATATTAATTGGCTATACATATAAATAAAACAAAATATAGAAATAACATGTATATTCCAATTAATATATTCCACCAAAAAAAAGGCCGTGAAATGCTCCTCGCCTGGAGCGTACGAAGGCCGCGAAGTGGTGGTCCAAGGGCGGCCCCTCGCGCTCCGGCAGCACCGTCTGCGCCAGGTCCGAAGCGGCGCAAAGGTCGGAGGAGGCCCTGCCGCAGCTGGGGTCTTGTTGCCTATGGTTTGAATATAGCAACTATAGGTATGATAGATAGATAGATAGATAGATAGATAGATAGCTAGGTAGATAGATAGATAGATAGATAGAGAGATAGAGAGATAGAGAGAGAGAGATAGATAGATAGATAAAGAATAGAAAAGAAAAGAAAAGATAAAATAAGATAATATTAGATTAGATTAGATTAGATTAGATCAGATCTATCTATCTACCTATCTACCATTAACGCAGGTGCCACAACTATAACATGGATGTCCCCACCATTATGATGTGACTACACACTGCATCGCGCAGCTATTTTACCACCACTATAACATGCACTGCTGATATCTCACTCCCTTTTATCAAAGTTTATTTTTAAATCTTGATTTTGGAGGTGGTGTTTTGTAGTCCTCGACAGCGCACACTTGGTTTCCATACCGTTCCTGTGTTTGAGGATGTTTGAGGCAACCATTTCGTATCTGAACCAGTTTCGCCACACAAACCATAGTCATCAACAGTCGGTCCAAAGGACGAGTTTAACGCGGCCGGTAGAGTAAGGGACATAGATGACTAAAGGCCCCCAAAACTCCATACCTTGAAAATAATCAAAAATTCCGCGTAAGATCAGCAGCAGTAACATAAAGCGGGAACACTCATGAGAAAAATTCGTCACAAAATCGCAAAATATTTTTTGTTGCAAACCTGAACACGAGATTTGCCACAGTCCCAAACCGCCAGTAGGCTCATGCTTCATGAACATTGCAAATGTTGTCATCGCAGCGGCGAGTTCTTTCTAGGCATTTGCGCCACCTGCTGTGAACACAGCGTGGTACTGCGGAACCCAAGGTTTGGAAATCCAAACTGTTGACCACCAAACGCAAAAGAGGTTTGGCCATGTGGACATGTGATCACACACACACACTTTTAAGAACTTGGTTCGTGCTGACAAACAAGATGTATACCAGCACATAAGCAGGGGACGTTCGAATCTCACCGATAAACTTGGACAGCTGAAAAACTTCTCAAATGTTTGCGAAGCGAAAAAGGCGTGATCGAAGGATGAATTCCTCTTACATTTGCCTTCATCCAAAGGTTTTTGCGCATTTTTGCGCTACTTTTGGGAATCGCGACACTTCTGTATTGCCTCACGGTGATCATCCAAGAGGTGAACTCAAAGTACCTCCGAATGACACCCGTAAAAAGGGTGACTCCTCCGCATGTCTCGTTGGGAATCAATATTCCTGTACCAAGACACGCCCTGTTCAAACCACGAAGACAGGAAAATACGTTTCGGTCCACTTGTAGGTTCTAAGGCGGCCCGGTCGCAAAACCGTAAACTGCAATTGAAACATATGGCACCCTCTCTCTCTCTCTCTCTGAGTCTCTCTCTCTCTCTCGCTTTCTTTCTTGGACCGATGCAGCAGCCTCAGGGTGCTGTCGCGCAGCAATGCCTCGCCACGCAGCTCTGGACTGCTAGACTCATGGGACGAGACGAACGTCTCCTGGGGGGAAACCATGGGAAAACCATGGGAAAACATAGGAAAACCATGGGAAAACATAGGAAAGCCATGGGAAAATCATGGGAAAACATAGGAAAACCATAGGAAAACCGTAGGTAAACCATGGGAAAACATAGGAAGACCATGGGAAAACCGTGGGAAAACCATAGGAAAACCATGGGAAAAGCTTGGGAAAATGCTGATTTTTCAAGCAAGATTTTAATGAACATTGGGGGTTGGATGCTGAAAGTTAGGATGCGAGTATTTCAGTATATCGATGGTAATACAACCATGAAATATTGGGTTGTCAACTATAGACATGTTATCGACTATGGGTTATCATCATATTTCAGCATTACCACTTGCCGGATACCATGTTAACTGTAGTGTATGGTGGATACAACTGTAAGTGGCTTTGATTGTTGAGTTGGTGTTCTGGCTTACCGTTCTTGTTACCATTATTGTTGCTATTCCCTGTGGCTTCTTACTAGAATAATTGAACGAGCATGCGACACCATCTCCTCAATATTAAACGTCCGAACTGTGTTCTCCCGAATACATGTAAATAAATCACCTACTAAACCATGGTTCCTGGGGGGTGCTCAACATTAGGATGGATTCCAAGATTCCAAGGCTAGCATTAGTAATTAGGTGGTATGTGCAGACCAGTGCCTTATAGATAGCTAAGTTGGTTAATAACTAGATTGAATTTAGATTTATGGCTATTATAACTATACTTAGATTATTTAGATAAGATCAGAGAAACGCACCTGATTCCTGAATCCAGTATAAATAAGATATATCGCGACAGGCGCGTTCAATGCAAGTTGAAATCACAAATGGACAAATGCAAGTGCAGTTGGATGCAAACACAATGCAGAATCAAGGCAACAAAGCAATGCAGTTGGAAGCGAACACGCAATGAAACCTTTTTGTCCGAGTGTTTTCTTGAGCCAAACAGCATGTTCAGCAAAGTTCAGCAAGGCTACAAACTATGCGAGTTTGAACTCATGTTCTTCTGAACTAGTTAAGCCTATTGCCGGAAGACAAGTAACTGATACAAGTCTACAATTGCAAATGACATCAAGGGTGCTAGAGGAAAGCTCACATGAGAAATATACACTGTACCATGCGAGTATTTTCAACTCCCCCCTTGAGGTTTTCTATACACCAAAACAGTTATTCACGTCTTGGCTGTGCCCTCATGTCATCATCACAGATCAGAGTGCCATACAAGAAGTCAACCTTCGGCTGGTTTAGAGTAAGGGGCTTGCCGTAACGGCTTCCTCCGCTGTTTCTTCTTGTAGCCGATCTTATGCTCAGCAGGTCCCGCGCCAGTTTGAGGTGGTGCTAGAGTCATGTCTTGACTAATCTTGAGCCCTGCTTGAGAGGTTTTGATGATGTTGTACTCCTCATGAATGCCGAGCATGTTCAGGGCTGGTTGCCAAAGAGGGCCAGACAAGGCCTTTGTGAATATGTCTGCACGTTGATACTTGGTACCTACCAACATGAGCTCTGTATCTTCTCTGTCTAATTGCTCCTTGACCGATGCTAGGTTGATGCGATGCACCCTCTTCAAATGCCTAAGCTTCTTAGAATATCCAGCTGCACATACTTTTGCGCAGGCTTCGTTGTCTTCTCTGATTCTCAGTAAGACATTCCGCTTCAAGAGCGTGCTGAAAAGCTCTGCCAGGGGTATCGCCTCATCAAACAAAATGTTTGCCAAAGCCACGGTCTCGCTCTCAGTGGTGCTTCTAGACACCGCTGTCTGTTTCTTGCTTACCCAGCACAAAGGAAACGACGTGTCCTTTCCGGACAGTTGGATCCATGCACCTGAGGTACTGTAGCAATCCTCTGTACTTCCACATAGGTCTGCATCAACAAAATACTCTAGGAAAACTTCATCCATTCCATCACCAACATAACCGGTCAACATGTGATTCTTGGTACTATCTATGTAGCAGATGGCTCGGAACAACGCTACGTCACAACCAGCACACCACTTCTGGATCTTGGTCGCAAGCCAAGTGGTCACTCTCAGAAGATCTGGCCTTGCAAGCCTGGCCAACCACATCATCTTCATAAGGATGCTGGAGGCCTTGTCTGCCAATTCCCCACGGGAATCATCTTCCTCAATGTCCCCATTGGCGAAGAAAGGAGTGTTGACCTTCTTCAGCTGTTTTCCTTCAGTGATTCTGAGGTAGTCAGTGACGATATCTTGAGCATATGCTCTCATGTCAAATGCGAACAGTTCCTTGCCCTCACGCTCAATTGTTGTGTGATGACGGCCAAGAAAACGACCAAGATCCCCAATGTCATCAATGAGGACCCTCTTGCCAAGATCCTGCCAAAATGTGTCATGCATGGTGGCATCTCCAGCAAGCACAAAGTCATCAACGTATACAATGAGCGCCAAGTTGTTGTATGATGGGAAGACATATGTCGACGCAAACTCATCAATTGGAACTCCACCCATGGCAACAAGCTCCTTGTTGAGGTGTTTCTCCCAATGGGAGCCGGCCTCTGGATGGCCGTAAAGCGATTTGTGTAACCGCACTACCGGTCGGCGGTAGCGTGGCTCTCCACTGGGCCAAAACCAGTCGTCAGGCCAAACCTCTCTAGGCAATCTGACCCAAGTTGCACACAGTGACTTCAGTTCCGATTGTAAATACGCTTTTACAGCGTCTGCTGTGCTCACCTTGCATCCGCTCATCAAACCAAAACAGATTATGGCATTGGCGGCCACAATTGATGCTGGCGATGCCGAAAGCGTCTGGTACAAGGCGATGTTTCCACTCTCTGTCTTCGCTGCATCTCCTCGGTAACACACTCTGCCTTTCAATTGTCTGAAGGCTGGCTCCAATTCGACGTGCTTCTCGGAGCATATTGCTAAGAGGTCAGCGAGATGGATTGTTTCATGGTTCTCGATGGCCCGTTTCTTGACGTTGTGTTCCTCATCCACGGAGGCCCAATCCCAGGTTCCCATACTGGCCACACCATCGAATTCTTTTCGTATGGCCTTCAGAGCGTCTGGTCGTGCTATGACTTCAGCACGTGGAAGTTGGCGGGTCACTGCCGCCGGGAACACTTCATCTGCAGGCTCTTCTGGCGGACATTCCGGAACAATGTCATCGTCAAGAGGGTCACAAGCATGTCCACTTGATGATGCACGCTCACCGGCCGGAGTTGGTGGAAGTGCTGCTGGTGTTGGTGGTGCAACTGACGGTGTCGGGGGTACTCCACTACGAAGTCCATAGATTCCGTCAAACCTCGCACGGCATTCTGCTGTGTGTCGCGAATGTCCATTTTCACAACCTGAACATCCAACAGTTACTCCATGCTTTTCAAGACGTTGAGATGTGATGTAAGCATGTCCTGGTGGAGGCGGCCTGTCTTCAATGGGAAATGCATCTATGCAGATATCATATGGAAGAACACCTTCAACAAACGACTTGTCATATTCATCACGTTTCAACACCATCTCAACATCAGTCATATCAAGAAGTGCAGTGCGCGCAGCACGCGCGAGCGGAAACTCAACATGTTCAATTGGTGGCAAGAACGTCTCACGCTGGTGAACAACCTTGGGAATCCAATGTAAGCCTGGTTGACTCATAGTCAACAATGAGAAGGTTTCCACGGAATCTGAGCCCAGGCGCCAAATGCCATCCTGCAAACAGTCCCGGTTTTGTTGTTGGCTCACCGAGGTCTCCTTTCGCACGATAGTACACAAGAGCCCCAAGCGGATATCGAGGTCCTCCAAACTCACTCCCTGTGGCAACATGCCATCTGGTCTTTCCAATCTTGTTCTCCTCCGCCTCAGTGCCTTTTTCATGGTTGGCAATCGGAGCAGGTGAGAAAAACGATCTTGCTTTTGAAACATAATCAATTGTCAAAGTCCAGAGCCTTTTGTGAAAACCAGCTTGGATGTGTGACGGCCTGCTCAACTCCTTAAGCGTCCTCACTTCTCGCTCAAGGTGTGCATTGTGTGGCCAATAGTTTGGCGCACTTGGATCCAAAACCCAACATAGACGTGATGCTGCATTTGTCAACTCTTGGGCTGTGTCCGAACAAAATACAGTATCAGTGCGTCCGCTAAGCGGGTACCCAGCAAAATGTTTCAATGACTCATAACTGGACTCCTCGTCTCTGCTGGTTTGTGGGTACGCAAGGCAAATTCCAGAGTATCTATCCCTGACAACAAGTGCACAAAGTTCTCCTCCCAAGCCTCTGGATTCCACAGCTGGAAAGATGTTGTCTGCCTCGATGATGCTGCCAAATTCCTTAGCTCGCTCATAGGGCATCTCACTGTCCTCTGGATCAGCACGGAACCTATGGGCATATCTTCTGAGCATCCTTCCACGACAACAATGTTCACAAAACGGATTTTTGCGGTCATGGAGTGTCATGTGTTCCAAACTCTGTGCTTCACGCTTCAGCCGTTCATCTCGTGATTCTCTCACTCTGTCGTCCTCGTCATCTGCTGGTGCTTCCCCATCAGACATATCAGCGGGACATGCAAAAGAATCCACAGACTGAAAAATGGTTGGAGTTGGAACTGGCTCTTCCTCAGGTTCTCGTTCTCTGTGTTCTTGGTGATTGCTAGGAAAGACTACTGGCATAGCTGGGCAATGTTTGGATATGATGTCAGGGTATAACGAGTACACGATGTATTCACACATGATCCTCGGGTAAAACCCAGTTTGATTTGTCTTGGAACCTTCAATGATGGAGTGTTTGAAGCCGGAGTCATGTTGGCATCTGAGCTTGGAGAAAACTCGAGCTGTTCTGCCACATGTTGTAGCAACACGCCAACGCTTGAGATGCGGTTGACCATCACCATCCACAACTCCCACTCTGCATCCATCGAAGTCGACGATCATCATGTCCAGTTGCTGTAACATATGCTTCACCTCATTTGTTGCCCAGCCAACGCAATGCCGTGGCCACTCATATGAAACTCTGCCCCCATGCTTCACCACGACCTTGGCTAAACGGAGAAACTTTCGGATCATCAATCTAGACCTCATTCTTTGAACATCCAGTCTTTTGGCATATTCATCTCCTTGACGATTCAAGCACATTGCCTGCCATTGGGACCAAGGTCCACAAGGTAGGCTGCCCCAAAGATCGCATCCAGGTTTGTTTTCAACAATCTTTTCAAGACTTTTGATAACACCTTCTTGTTCAACATTGAGCGATTGTTCAGTGCATCTCACGACATGGATACCATACTCCTTGGCGACATTTCCCAACATCGAGTCAGGTGAAGTGCAGAATTCGATCAACATGCCATGTCCAGGAAGTCCCTCATGATGCTGTTCAACAGTAACTGCTTCTCCTGGAGGATCTGAGTTGTCAAAAGTGGCATGCTCCTCGCTGATGTCCTTAGCAATCTGTCGATACACCGCTGCTTCGGATGCATCCTTCGTTTGAGCCATTTGTTCATAGAACTGACTCATGTCCAGAACCATCTCATTGATGGAAATTCCATGGATCTTCCTTTCACTGGAACCCCCCTGACCGGTGGTTGTGGCACTCTCCCACTTCCTCCTCCTTTGTGCCTTCCGCTTGGCCTTCTTGGAGTGTTCCTGAACAGGCTCCACCTGTGGCGGGTCCTGATACAAAATCAAATCATGCGAAACATTGTCATGTCCGCGCGCTGGCGCGACCAAATCCATGCCACGCTTATTATTGTTATCATGGTCATCTGGATACAGATCGCATACACATGCGTACTGTCGTTCCATGCAATCCTCACAAAAAATGGACGTTGCATCCCCAACACATTGTGAGCAAACGGCTGCCTCCTGATACTCGGGCTTATCATGCTCCTCAGCAACGGGCTTAACAGCCTCCGCTGGTGCTGCCTCAGCTGTCGACGTTGCACCTTGTTGTGGTACACCTGCAAGCTGTTGCGGCTCAATGGCAAAGATTGGAACATTGTTTTGAACCCGTTTGGCATACCATCTATGCTCGAGAGGACACCATACTCGACACCTTTTGTGATCTAGTACGATGTATGGAGCTTCACCATGACGCCAAATGAATGTGCGTCCACGCTTGATCTGTTGACCAATTGACATGGCTAAAGGGCAATGTTCAAGCAAATGAAGTTTCAAATCTCCAACACGTTTGGCATACAACTTCAACTCTTCATGAGATGTCTGCGGTCCACCGCCAGTTGCAAATCTCACAGGGTTCTGAAGACATCCGATCCACGGCTTGAGCAACTCTGGATCTATTCCCTGTTCCTGGATTGCATGCAATGAACCTATATCATATGCAGCACCTGTGTCTCCAAGCAATTCAATGCTCATGGAGCGGAACTGCTCAATGCAAGGGTGAAGAGCTGATGCAGCCGACACGCATTCAAACTTGGGAGAATCAACAATCGAAGAAATCAAAGTTGCCAAAATGGGAACGCTCAGCTTCAAAAACACGGACATGGATGGCAAGGCCTTTGAGCAAAAATCACAGAAACCTTTCCAGGCCGCCATGACCTTCTGTCCATCGACTTCAGTGATCGTGACTGTAGATGCCACTGCCGCTGCTGCCGCTGTTGCTGGTGGAGCACTCGCTGCAGCTCCCTTTGTTGCCTTTCCATCTCCTTTCTTTCCCTTCTGGGCCTTTCCTCCTCCCTTGGATCCCTTTCCATCTCCTTTTTCGGAACCTTTCTGACCACCCTTTGAACTCAGCATTGATTGCTGGTGCTCCGTGAAGGCCTTCTTCGCTGCATCTGATCCTGGTTCTCCTTGATGATGGTTCCTGCATCTTTTGCCAAATCTACAATGGCCAGCCGCGTGGAGGGCACATGGTGCCTTCCGGTTCTTCTCATGGTTCACCTTCCCAACATCTAACGGACCAGCTGCCGCCGGAGCATTGCCCTTCGATTCATGCTTGGGCTTGTTGGCTGAAGCCTTTCCTGACTGCTCATGCTGTTGCGCTGGAAGCGCAAGCTGACTTGGTGGATTCGACTGCAACCCCTTTGATACATTCTCGAAGTTGCTGTCATGGCGCCGCTCTCTCAACTCTTCTGCAATCTGTGCACATAGCCAGTCGAACGTCCTCTTTTTGGAGTTGGCCTTGCTGTTCCTGACCCGCTCTGTCACACGGTTCAACATTGGCACTCTCTTCACCTGATGCCATAGCCATGCGTAGAGCGTGTTCTCGGCTGGCCTGTCCTCAGGCTTCAACCCATGCAAGACGTAGTTGGTCTTCTTCACAAAGTCCCCAACCTCCTTGAGAGATTTTCCGGTCAACTGAAGCGACAACAGATGCATCTGACTGAGAGCCACTGACGAATCAGTCCCAGTCTCGTAGAAGCTGATAATGAGGTTCATCAGAGGCATGCCCTTGGGGCCCTCTTGCTTGGTTGCGCATTCCTCCACCCATGAAGTCAGTTCATGTGCAAGATCAGTGTTTGTTGCCAAAACTTCAGGCTTGATGAGCTCCGCAGCGACATGCTTGCTGAACATCGTGAACGCAGTTGATGCCTGAAGCTCTTCACGAAACTTGCGACCACGTCCACCATCCATGCAATGGACACAAAACTTCACCAACACATCGCGATCAGTCAAATCAATGCGACTCACTGCAGCTAAAAATGCTGCACGCCATTCCCTACATGAAGTGGCATCATTTGGCAAACGAGTGATCTGGATTCCTTTCAAATGCTTGATCTTGAAAACATTTTCATCCTTTTCACCAGGAAGCAGCCACCCCCCTGATGGTGGATCTCCACCATCTGTTCTACCGCCATTTCCAACATCACCTTGGTGAGACCCAGTGCCATCTGTGGACCCTTGGCTGTTGGTTGAAGAATTCATTCGGTAGAACTTTGCACTGCTGGTTGCAACATTCTCAGGAATGGATGGTGGCCGACTAATACCCCTCTGATCATCTCGAAAAGGTTGTTGCGGAACAATATGTCCCGCTTGAATTCTTGGGCCATTCGGGTCATACTGGATTTGATGCTTCTGAAATCCAACATCACATCTACCTCCAACAGGAACATTCCCCAAAGCACCCGTGCATCCAACCAATGGAATCGGTGGAATCCCAGCACATGCACTGACCGTTGAATCGGCAGCGTTACACGCGCCAAGTGGATCCTGAAAAATCTGTGATCTCATCGATGGAGCATCGCTCGGTGGAGGCATTGATGGTGACGGCAACCCTGGACCCTGAAAACGATCCGTGCCATTGTTGGCTGTTGCCAAACTAAACATTGTAGCACACCTCCAACATGATGGTCTTCCAATCACATTTTGCGAACCACAACATGAACAAAACATCACTTCCATAGGACTCATGCTAGCTACACTACAGGCCCTGACAGATAAATGTTCCGAAGCCGGAGATCCCTGAACTGCTGGAATATCAAAAGGGTTCATCATTGGTGGAAAACCCACAACAGATGATGCAGACGAGAGAAGATCCTTGTTCATCAACTGCTGCTTTGCGGCCGCCAGCTCCTGTCTCAGCATCTGCATCTGGTCATGCAGTTGCTGTCGATCTCCCACCAGCTTCTGGTTGTCCGCTGCAAGAATTGAGATCTGCGCCTCAGCACGCTGGGTGGCGGTCATGATCTCACCTTCAGCTTGTCTGGCCAGAATGGCCTTTTCCTGTTGGACCTGTTGCAACTGATGAGCATCCTTACTTAATTGCTGAACAGCTAGGTCTCTTTCATGCTGAACCTGTGAAATCTGCTGAGACCCTTCTGCATGTATACGCTGCATCGCCAACCGGCTCGCTTGCTCAGCTTGATTCAACCTAGCCTGGTGTTCCAACTCTATACGCGCCAAATGCATGTTCATTTTCTCCCTCATCTGTGAAACAGTAGCTTCTACCCGATACTGAACCGTGGATTCAACTAAATGCTCCAGCTGCTGAGGGTCAATCATGTTGTGAACGGATTGGGAATGATGTGCATTTTGTTGTTGGTGATGGTGCAATGTATTTTGTTGAAAATTTTGGGTGTTGTATTGGTTCAACGTTTGACCATCTCTCCCAGTAGCAGTATGCGCAGATGACCGCCCACCAGTCCTCGTGTGCGCAGCTGAAGACACTTGCACTTCCTGAGGCGGGCTGGAGTCTGCTATCGCTGCTGGACCCGACTGCATCTCTGGTGACTCTGAAGATGTGGAATACTCAATCCCTGGACCGACAACTCTGAATGGCGTCGCAGGCACCTCCCTTTTCATGCAGCCAAAGATACAGGGGAAACTACCGCGCAATTGCGCGAACACCCAAACAAATTAAAAATGAATTTAATCGCGCAAGCGCGAGCGATCAAGATGACGAGAAATTCCGCGCAACGCGCGTTCAGACAAAGATATACCAACGACTACCGCGCAAGCGCGATCTGCAAAGGGCAACGAAAACACTTGAAGGGCTGCTGCCAAACACTGACAAACAAAAATCAATCCTGACACTTCTCACAGGGAATCAAAGTTTACCAGGAGTGCCAACTCACGCCAATGACTTCAAATAGGACGGCAATGGCACCGAATCAATGTCAGTTCTTCGGATCAACCGCTCCAAAGGCCGAAGGCTATCACTTGGCGATCTGCTGTCAGTTGTGATGGCAACCACCTTGGACCCACGTGCACGATTGACTTGCAACTGAAGGATGTCGTTGCAGAGGGCACGCTGATCGTCCACAAAAATGGCAATGCCAAGCTCCTTGACCAGTTCAGCCTTTGACTGGGTATGCCCAGTCACACTGGGTCCCTTTGTCCAATCTGAGGTGCGCTTGCGAGGCACAATGCAGATGTCCTTGAACGGACGTTGCAATCTTTGCTCCAAAGCTCGAGCTGCTGTCAACGTGGTGTTTTGCGTGGCCAATGCACTGCCGAATGACACCACGCAAAGATCCCAGCCTTTGTTCAACAAGTCCCTGAGGATCGCAATGCTGGATGCCGGAACAAAACCCTCCAGAGCACCACCGTCAGTTTCACGCTCGTGGCTCAAAGTCTTATGCCAGTCCAATCCAATCAAAGGTCTCTCAGTAGATCTTGCCCCTGACGCCGTGGAAGATGGTGCAATGTCCGCAACAACCTCCGAGGACCTTGCAGCAGCCTTGGCTGGCTTCAACTGAACAGTCCTCTCCTGGAGAGACTTGGGCTTTGCAACCTCCGACTCGGCCCCTTTTGCAAGCTCCTTGGCCTTGCGAACAGGAGTGATCTTCACAGTGCGCTCTGGCGCAGCTGGTGTTGTGGTAGCACAGGATGAAGGAGCAGATGAGGACGCTGTAGATGGTGCAGACCCAACAAGCTTTGTCGAAGACGATGGCTTTGCCGTGTCAACGGAAGATGGTCTCGAGGCCACCTTCCTTGTTTCAGCCTTTCTCTGCTTCGGAGATCTCGGCTTCTTCGGCACCTTGGGCTCTGCCTCCACTGGAGCAACTGTAGGAGCAGGCACCTTTGAAGCAGCAGCTGAAAACGGTTTGGACCTCCGCGGCAAAGGAGACCTAGATCGCCTCTTTGCAGGCGGTGCCGCCTTCGGCGGTGTCTCAGGGGTCCTTGAACCCGCCTCGGTGTGTTCCACCCACACCCACGACAATTGCCACTCACCACTGGCACCCCCAGTGGGCGTAGGTGGAGGAGCGATGGGTCGTGCCGGCACCGATACAGAAGAGCTCGATGTAATCACACGTCGAGATGACAAGGATCTGACCGATTCTGTGTGATGCACTGTCCTTGCCGGCGGTGGCGGCACAGGCACAGGCACAGCAGCAGCTGAAACCTCCTTGGCTACCGCGCCAGCTTCTGCAGCCGACCTCGAGCGCTCTTCGCGCCTACGTTGACCCTCCCTGTCTATTTCGTATTGCTCCGGGTCGAAGTAGTCTAAGTGGCTTACCAAGCCAGCAGCTTTTCGAGCAACCTGCGATCTGCGAAAAGGATCTCCACCACGTCTTCCACGCTCACGTTTTGGAGGCTGTTCCGACATTACGCGCCAAGCGCGATCAATGATCAAGATGGTGTAATGCAGTGAAAAATGCTTGATCTACTCTGCAACCAAATTGTTTCGAAAGTTCAGTCTCACAACCCAATAGTGATAGTGAAGATAGAGCCGAGTGCGGCTGATAACCAGATAAGATCAGAGAAACGCACCTGATTCCTGAATCCAGTATAAATAAGATATATCGCGACAGGCGCGTTCAATGCAAGTTGAAATCACAAATGGACAAATGCAAGTGCAGTTGGATGCAAACACAATGCAGAATCAAGGCAACAAAGCAATGCAGTTGGAAGCGAACACGCAATGAAACCTTTTTGTCCGAGTGTTTTCTTGAGCCAAACAGCATGTTCAGCAAAGTTCAGCAAGGCTACAAACTATGCGAGTTTGAACTCATGTTCTTCTGAACTAGTTAAGCCTATTGCCGGAAGACAAGTAACTGATACAAGTCTACAATTGCAAATGACATCAAGGGTGCTAGAGGAAAGCTCACATGAGAAATATACACTGTACCATGCGAGTATTTTCAACTTATTTTATATAGATGTCCAATAGCTATAAACTTATAATGGCTGGAGGGCGCAGGTTAGATTTTGCGCAGAAAGCCGGGCAAACAATGCGCAGATGTTGCCCATCAACCCGATGGCCTGGACATCACTGGGAAAATCCCCAGTACTGGAGGTTCTATTGAAAAAACACATCCATAAATGTGTTTTTGATTTTCCAATTATCCAAATGTCATGTTATGATTTTCCAATTTTTGATCTTCCAATTTTCCAATTGTCATGTTTGATTACTGGAGAGTAATTAACCTTAGCAACCTTGGATTATAGACGTAAAAACCATCGAAATCCCACGAGTTTCCATTGGAGTTTTCAACGTTCACCGCACTGTTGAGGCGGCCCCCATCGGTTGTAGCAACTCTGTCAATGGCTGCAGGATATAGGATATAGCTACATATAACTATGGTCTTGTAGGCAAATGATATGATCAATGAATTGATTATTTAAACAAAATACATAATATATCAAAATCCATTCAACCTGAAAAGAATTAAAAGTATATATAAACCTGCCATTTCACCAAATGGGTCGTTTATTCTTGTTTGTCCCAAATAAAAACAAAAAATCACCATTCATGTCAACCCTGGATTCATAAACCCCTGCTGTTTAATTGGGAAGGTACCATGTAAAAAAATCAAAACGTATTAGATGAAATGACTATTGGAGGAGTACCCGGTCCCGGTACCCAGAAAAGCCCTATATTTGATGGGAAAAACCTTGGTTTCCTGTAGATTTTAAATTAAACCAATCCATTGAACATTAATGTCAATCCCAGATTAATAAACAATGGTTTATTAATTAGAGGGGTACTCGTGCAATAGTCATTTCATCTAATACGTTTTGATTTTTTTAATGGTACCTTCCAAATTAAACAGCAGGGGTTTATGAATCCAGGGTTGACATTATTAATCCATTGAACATCGAATCTCATTCCATTTCATGTACATTTCAATGGATTTGTTTATTGGAAAGTTTACAGGAAACCAAGGTTTTTGAACATTGTCCAATAATCCAATAAACCTCCATTTCACCAAATGGGTGGTTTATTATTGTTTTTCCAATATTTTTTAAAAAACTCCATTTCACCACTAATGTCAACCCTGGATTAATAAACCTCCATTGAACATTACCCTCTGGTAAACATACAAAAAGCTATTGAAATTGGCCCAGTCGAAATAGTGAGTTTTCCCAATAATAGCATGGTGACTTTCCATAGTTATATTGACATACTATGGTTTATTAATCCATTTCACCATGTTAAATAATCCATTTCACCATGGATATACCTGGTTTCCAATAAACCTCCATAAACCACCATCGTTCCAGCTGGTGTTTCATCATCGCCAAGGCTCCAAGGGTCCATCCAGCGATAGCCAGGCCCGGCAGTTGGAAATGGCATGCCTCGGTCGCGTCTTTCGTCGCAAGGTGGTGCCCCCCCAAGTGATGTGAACGTTGGTATATTAAAACCATAGTATGTCAATATATATAATATATCTACCTAATCAACCAGTTCGTGAAATTGGAGTGAAATTGGTTCACCAACGCGATTCCGAACTGGGGTTAACCCACCTCAAAAAGCCTACCTATCCTACAACATCCTACTGGTAACTGGGGTATTCACCATGGTTTTTTGTGGGATAAATCACCAAGTCACCACGTCAATCTTTGATAGTCCACAAAAAATGATAATCTTTTGCTGGTTCTGGTGAGTTTCCATAGCAAAAGATTAAAGGATGAGTTTCTAGCCATCCAGTTGGGGGATGTAAACATCTTCTTGTTTACAGTCTGGAGGAGATGGAGCATCCACAAAGACGCTGAAAAAGAAATAAAAATAGTACCTTCAATCAACACATGTAGATGTATGATAAAGATCATGAAAACCAAACAAAATCAATAGAAAGTAAGAGAAACTAGGGATTCAGAACAACACACCTAACATGTAGCATCGGTAAGACGGGCGCTAGCTTTTCCGAAGAGGTCCAAGACCTCACGTCCACCCCAGGGCCCGTGTCCCGGCTGGAAGAAGGGAACATCTTAACCAGAAACCCAGACGTTGACCTCCGAATACAAGGCGTCCCCGCAAATTTTCCCACAAATCCAGGTACAATGTGGATATCTAACCATAATTAACCATATCTCACCATAGTTACAAGGTGGTGCCCCCAAGATAGCTAAGTTGGTTTATAACTCCAATAACTATGGTTTATGGTAGATATATTGACATACTATTCCTATGGTTTATATACCAACGTTCACATCACATTTTGGGGCACCAGCTTGTAACCATAGTTACCCTCTGGTAATTTAACATAGCTATTGAAAATGGACCATAGAAATAGTGAGTTTTCCCATGAATAGCATGGTGATTTTCCCATCAGTTTTTTGTATGTTTACCAGAGGGTAGGCTTAAGCAACTGATGGTTGCCATGGTTTTTCCCATGGCCAAAAAACAAATCAGTTTTCCGTCCGTTAATCATCCGAGCGGTGGGCAAACATGCGATGGTGCCACACGCATTGCCAAAGCCAATGACCTGGCACAACAGCGGGGCAGGAACGGATGTTTTGATGGTTAAAACCATGTTTATAACCTGGAAAAATGGGATATGTTTAAATAAGTTATATATGATTAGATCATATAACCATATATAACTTATAACCTCCATGTATAACCCCCATATAAGCCCTTTTTAAAACCCCGATACCCTTCGGAAATCACTCCGTTTGGATTGGATGTCAACCATGGCCATGGTTTTGACAAAGTATCCAGTTCGATACCTGGAGGTTAATACGAAAAAATGGTTGAAAAATTGTTGAACATACCAGGATACCATGAGAAAATCAAGAAACCAGTGCAATCCTCAAGATTCTCCACTTCTTCATCGATTTCTGGCGTTGGCACAGTTCTCTGCCATCAGTTCACCCCTGGAAAAGACCTTCCCCATCCTTTCAGACCTGCTTCAAAAAGAAGAGGTCGGGTTCAGTTGCCACAGATGCGCCTGAGGCAACTGAACAGTGCTGAACCTGGGAAACAAAATGGAAAATAACATACAATAACTATAGGAAACCCAAGGACAATTATCTACAAATTATGGTGCTTTGCCCTTCTGCATCTGTATCAAGTTACAGCAAATAAAATCGAAGATAGGGACAGTTCATCTTCTTGTGGCCATCTTCCAGCATTTGTCTGGGTAAATGATAATATTTCACTAACCTGAATTAAGGCCATGTGGGGATGATTCCCCTTAGTAACCATGATTCCACTGAGGTCGCAGTGAGGTCGTTATAATTTACCCTGATTTGTAGATAAAAATCCGAACGTGAAACGAAACCTGAAACCAATGGGATTCCCAGATTTCCACATAGCTATAGCAGCTATGTAACAGCTTGGACAGCACCCAAAACAGATTGTTCATCCTCGAGACCCAGTTTTTTAAGGGGCAACTAACCCTACAAAATACGACCTACTCGGCTTAACCCACATAATTACTAAGTGGGATCTAAGTTTGATAAATCACCAAGTCATCAATGGCCATGACTCAGGAACCGATTGATTGGAGGTACCTACCATATATAAGGCCGATTTTTCAGGCCTAAATTTCAGGGAGGATCCCCACAATTCATATGGCCCAACATATGGTACGTTTACGTACCTCCATGTATTGGATCCTGGATTTCCCATTGATCAGAGTTAATGGTATGCTAGCCCAATATACCATGCTCTTATACCTATTATACATTATTAATGGTATATTGGTATATTGGCTATTGAAAATGGCCATTTCTAGTGGATTTATCCATCAAAAAATTGTGATTTTCCCATCAGTTTTTTGGATCAACGGTGACCGCAGTGACCGTTAAAGCTGGCTGGCCAGCTGCGTGGATGAAACCGAGCGGAGACATCCCCGAAGTCAATGGATGGCCATTATGTGATCAATGGCCATGACGAAAAGGAACCGATTGATTGGAGGTACCGATTCCAAATATAAGGCCTATATATATAAGGCCTAAGTTTCAGGGAATATCACCAGAAAATATGGCCCAAAATATGGTACGTTTACGTACCTCCAATTTAGGATCCTGAAATTACCATTGATGTGATGTTATTAGCTGGTTGGTGGTATACGTAGCCTCATGAAAAATGATGGAGTGAGTTCGTCAGATTGGATCATCATCCCAACGAAAATGGGGAAAATAAAATTCATGTTCCAAACCACCAACCAGGAACCAATGGTAAACAAACATAACTATAGAAAATCACCATTTCTAATGGGTAAATCAACTATTTCTATGGCCATTTTAATAGCGTTTTGTTTGTTTACCAGAGGGTAAATCATCGAACTAAATGGGGAAAAGTCTAGCTTGCCCCTTTTGATGACCAGCTGGATATTCTTCCATTGCCATGTCTGATCTTCCGGAGGGTAGTAGCTTTCGTGAGGTCTTAAAAATCTTAAACATTGGCTATACAATCAAGAAAACGCAAGAAAAAAGATAATGATTACCCTCTGGCCCTCTGGTAAACTAACATAACTAGTGAAAGTCACATGGTTTAATTGGTAAATTAACTGTACATGGCAATTTTCAATAGCTATAAATCGCCAAAGGGTAAACATATCAGCGGGTCTCTGCTCATGTCATCCAAATATCCAGCTTTCGTTGCTTGGATCCTGAATTGTTTGTCCCATGAATCGCATGCGGAGAATCTCCGCGTGGTTAGTAAGTCCACCATTGGTTAATTCTTTACAGAAATGATGGACTATGCATCATATGGAGGTTTCCAAAGTCATGGGGGTACCCCTAGTTATCATCCATTTTAATAGGATTTTCCATTATAAACCATCCAGCTATTGGGGTATCCCCATTTTAGGCAACCCATATGGTTACTAACCAGTCACTAGAATTCCGATTCACTTTATCACTATTTTCACCTGGTAAAACTCTGTCTGGCTGATGATCTACTGATGTTATCCCATTTTGAGCTACCAAGTGGGATTGATTCTCCAAGTTGTGCATACAGATATAATATGATATAATAGTCATAGATAGTCACATTCAAAAATATAGACCTAAGTTGCCACTATGGATTTTACAGGGTTTTACCAAGTTTTATCTTAAACCCGGGGTCGCTACAAACAATCAAAACAGCTTGGATTTATGATTGTTCATCCCCCAATATGAGTCATTTCGGGTTTTGATTCATTCCATGGTAATTTATCAATTGCTTGCGGTCATATCACCAAACAACAAATCAACACCTGGATTTTTATGTTTATGGTTAGACGTTGATTCATCCAAAATATCCGAAGTCGATCAAACCTATACAACTCCAATTGGCGCGTTAGCATCTGCAGCTGTGCGTCTCATATGACTCTTGCCATTCCGCAGTGCCGCATCTTGCACACGCCTTGCAGCATAGATACGCTCCTGCCCGGTCCGACGGTTCGAGGACAGCTGAAAACGGTTGAACGACAACGGCTCCGTGCAGTTTAGTAATGGTGGTTTCCGGGAATTGTTCCGCCTATGGAAAATTAACTTGGACTTCAGGTGTGGAAACAAAATGATGATTTTTGTCCCCTCCTGAGGGGGAGATGGGACATAATCTTCAATGCTGTTCAATGGAAGGTTGTGATATCATGTGTTTTTTTCTTGGAGTTTGCAGTTTCAAAATCGCATGTCTTCATCGACTAGTGACTTGCACGACCCACTTGACAAGAGCACGTGCTTCATCCAAGTTTGGTCTACCATAGAAGCAGTCAACCGAAGCATCAAGTAAACAGATTATATCCCTGGAATTCCCTGCTTACAAGTAGGTTTAATCCACTTACAACTGGGGTCATAAACCACTAAGTCGAATGACCCACTTACTAACTAGGATAAACCATGATAAACCCTTGATTTAGCATGTTTTAAGCATGGTTTAAAATACGTTGTTTCATGCATGTTCCATGGTTTTTCCCCAAGTTTTGGTAGTCAATTCCATTAATATCCAATGAAATCCCATCGAATTCCTATCAAATCCCATGAGATCACCATATTTTCATCGGTTTTTCCCGTTTCTCGGGGATTTCCGGTGTCCCCGGATGTCCCCGGTGGCACCGAGCACGGGAACAGCAGGATGCAGGCGACGGAGGGAGGCACCAGCTCCAGCAGCTCATCGTCGAGGCCCAAGACGTCGCAGAAGGACCAGCTGCGGGGTAAGCCGATCCTTGGAATCCGATGATATCATGGAGTATCATAGGCATATTATATCGAATGGTAGATTAAATGGAATATCATATGGAATATGTTATAGTGAATAATAGTCAAAATAATGTTAACCCATAGCGATATGGTATAGTGAATGCTATGGATAATGATAATGAAAATGATGATAGTATCTATGGATAATGATAATATACTATGGAGAATAGTCAGGAAACTATCAAATCCCAAATAGTCACTGTTAACTCTGATCAATGGGAATGACTCAGGATCCAATACATGGAGGTACGTTAGCAAGTACCATATATTGGGCCATATTTTGGGGGAATATTCCCTGAAATTTAGGCCTAAAAAATAGGCCAAAAATATATGGTAGGTACTACCTCCAATTTAGGATCCTGAGTCATGGCCATTTTACTGTTATGAAATATGGGATGTATGGGACAATATTTCCCATTACATGTCCATTACATGTCGCCGATCCTTGGTGAGGGCCGTTTTGATTTACATTATGGGATATTATAGTGAATAACAGTGAATATATGTGAATATCACATATGTATATATATATATATGTATATGGAATATCATGGAGTATCATAGGCATATTATATCGAATGGTAGATTAAATGGAATATCATATGGAATATGTTATAGTGAATAATAGTCAAAATAATGTTAACCCATAGCGATATGGTATAGTGAATGCTGAGGATAATGATAATGATAATGGTGATAGTATCTATGGATAATGATAATATACTATGGAGAATAGTCAGGAAACTATCAAATCCCAAATAGTCACTGTTAACTCTGATCAATGCGAATTTCAGGATGCTGAAATAGAGGTACTGTAACATATAAGGCCATATTTTGTCGGGATATTCCCTTACATAGGCCTTATAGACTATGGATAATAAAGCCGATCCTTGGGGCCGTTTTTGGACAAGCCGATGGATATGAAAATGGATATGGTCGGCCGTTACATGGGAATTAATGGATATTCAATGATATAAAAATGGATGTGTAATTGGGGGACAGCCATTGTGGTTACTGGTATGGAATATGGCATTTTATGGGAAAATATTGGACAAAACATGTGATAATATGTGATAATATATGGTTATGTGTGGTGTTATGTGTCTTTTTGGGATAATCCACCCAGTTAATTTGCAATCTAAAGCAATTTATAGCCAACTTTGCTTCAGCGCCATGATGACATCGCAATCCCAAAATTGGCGATGTTAGTTTTTTTCGCCAGTTGCCAGTTAACATCAGTTGTACCAACCAATGCAAAAAAAAAAAATCCGGGCCCATCTAAATACTAAGAAAATCTAAGTGATCCTAAATTTCTAAAATCATCTACATCCTCATCAACCAGTTAACCAATCCAGAAGAACCCATCTAAATCCTCATTCTCTAGGTGAAAATCCATGAAAAATCAATGAAAATCCATGAAAATCCAGCCATTTTCTGCCAGATGTTCGGATTCCGAGCTTCTTCTGCCCAAACTCCGTGAAGACTTCCGGGTTGGACTCCAGTGCCAACCAGGGACCTGGACGCGACGCCCGAGGCCCCAAGAAATGGTGGTGTTTATGGAGAAACCGTAAGAAAAACATTGGAAAATACGTGGAAAAATACATGAACACCACCATTTCTTACGGTTTTCTTACGGTATTCCATTTTTTAAGTGCCAGGTTTTTCAATGTTTTTTTCAGAATCATTTTTTGTTTACCCAACTGGGGATGATTTTTTTCATCGGATTTCATGGGATGATTTTCCATGAGTTTCCCACTGGAAAATCACCATTTAGTTCGTTGATTTACCCATTGATACTGTTGATCACAGCATGGTGATGTTCCATACTTATGTTAGTTTACCAGAGGGCACCTGACAAATACATGAACATACCATTGACCATTACTGGTTGGTGGTGCAATAACCATCAAAATATGAGTTCGTCAATGGGAAGGATTATCCCATATATGATGGAAAATTAAAAAAAAATCCAAACCACCAACCAGATTAATACTGATTGACCAATGTTATTCCAGTTCATGAATGCGGGTCAATTAATATTAATAATTAATGAACATACGCTACTAGTTGGTGGTCTGCCTACCCCTCTGAAAAATATGAAAGTCAGTTGGGGTTACTATTCCCAATAATTATATGGAAAAATAGAAAATGTTCCAAACAACCAACCAGACTATAAACTGGTGGTTCGAACGAAAACTCATCTAGACATATCTAGACATATCGATAATAAACTCAATGGATTCGTTATTTTGGGATGATATATAATTAAATTTGGGGTGATATATTCCAGTAATCCATTATAGCAAACCATCAAACAGATAGAAAGTAATTGAGCACTGTTTCAGTGGGGTTTCACCAAACTTTATCTTTGCGGGGCTTGAGTAAGATTCCACTAAAATTGTGATAAGTGATGATAACAAGTGTTTTTTCTATATCTTTGATGGTTAAAATGTGTGCCCACTGGCTGGAATGGGGTGGTTGTTCTGTTCAACAGTTTTTGTGCATTCCATGTCAAAGCGTAAATCTAAAGCATTACCCACTGAGAGCCTGATTCAGTGAAAATGAGTAGCACTAGATTTTTAGCAAGCAAATTAACTATCATGTGGTTGGAGAACTCTTGGTATCTCAGCTGTCTCAGCTCCCGTTGGACAAATTCCAGTATTTTTTTCCATTATAGAAAATCTACACCATATATGTTTCCCCATATCTTTTTCCCTTAGCTATGTCCCCATATATTTCTTTGTTAGCTATGTCCCCATAGATTTTTCCATTATAACATCGGAAAATCTTCCATCCACGGCCCGAAAATCTAACCACCCCACCACTCTCCGCCTGAGCCGAGATTGCCTGTTTTCCTGGCAGCTCAGTTTGCTCTTACCCTCTGGTAAACATAGAAAAAGCTATGGAAAATCACCAAGTTGAATGGGAAAACTCACTATAAATGGCAATTTTCCATAGCTATGTGACAAATTACCAGAGGGTAAAAGCTATGGGTGCATTTGAAAATAGTGTAGCCCCAAATGACACTGAAATAATGTTAAAAGTGACACTAAACCACGAGTTTTGGCAACCCATGTTTAGTCAAATGAGGCCAGTATTATCATAATCCCATTATTAGCCCGATATATAGCCATGTTTATCATATACATATATATATGTATATGTATATATATATGTATATGTAAATATAGGTACACACACAGAGATATGTATATATATATAGTGTAAGCCCTTTACATTCTCAGGTCTACCAGCTGGGTCCTCCCGAACCATCCAAGCATCCACGAAATCGCCCCTGATCCAAAAGTTGGACGCCAATTTTTCTCCCCTTTTCATGACCATTGAATCCCATCTTTTAGATGGTTGAATCTTAACCTGAAGACAACTATATACATTGCCAATCTTAGATACCCTGCAAAAAATTAAATTCTTTGCTGGTTAGTAGATATTCCCGTAAATACCAAAAGACTAAAGGATTAAAGTATCCATGTAAGATTGACCTAGTAATCATTGCTTACCCACGGTAAATTGGATGGCCCCCATCCGAAATATGGGAAAATGAACTCTGGTAGTCGGGTAGTCCCGTACCTCAAATTACAGCCATTTATTGTATTTATTTGGTAAAACCATGCCAAAACCTCCAAAAAGAGTCTGAAGTACAATCATTCACGAACCAAAAAACATGGCTGAGAAGTTCGCTAAAAGCTATGGTGATGATTCCCCAATCCTAACACCATCCTTCCGTTGACATCACAACCATATAGACGATCGGGCCCCAAGGATGATCAAAGTTACCCTCCAGTAAACCAACAGTTTGCGAACTGGAAAATGGCCATAGAAATCGTTGATTAAAAACATGTGATTTCCCATCGTTTTTTGTATGTTTACCAGAGGCTAAACCTCCATTTTCCTATGGTTTTCCTATGGTTTTCCCATTAAAACCTCCATTTTCCTATGGTTTGCCCATGGTGAAATTGGGATCATCTGGAAGGAAACCGCCAAAAAAATTACGGTGCCCTATCGACGATACCACTGGAAAACATAGATCTGGATCATTCTTAGGGGAAATTTGGGGGATGGTTTACTAATGCTTTAGTATAAAATCAATGGTCATTTCCGGACCCTAAAATGGAGAAAATCCTACCATCTAAGGCTATATTTTGTGGGATATTCCTGAGAAGCCCTTACATGGGCCTTATATATGGTAGGTGCCTCGAAAAAAATTGGTTCTTGAAACATGGCCATTGATCAAGCACATCATCGACCCCTGCAGTGGCGGCCGGGATTGTCCTCAGCTCATCATTCAGCTTTGCCAAGTCGTCTTCCATGGGCGCTGCGGTTCTTCTAGTTTCTTTTTGAGTTTATAGAGCTTATCTTAATGACTTAATGTATAAGACATTTATCGAATTTCTATATCTTAATTTTAATGTGCTGAGTTTGAATCACGGGCGTAGTCTTTACCTATCACTTTGCTGTTTATTTTGTTCAATGAGGTTGACAAGACTGTTCATCTCAAGTTCAGTTGAGATATTTCCTATGCTATTGTTAGCCAAGGAAATACCTTTTTTGGTTGGATGATTTTTGAGAAACCAAAAACACAAAACAATGGACAATAGATATTGATGGATATTGACCAACACAAATTTGTAATTGGATGCATTCAACTCAACATGCTTAATTTTAGGTGGGCCCTGAAGAAAGGAGAAAAACATACATTGCATATTGCTGCCTTTTTTGCACACAACACATGCTGAACTACTCACTGCTCAACCAAGGTTACCCAATAGGCGTCATATGCGTCTGCTCAGTCGGCTCTGTCCCATACGTGTTGGGGTGCTGCGCATCTCTGGTGCTGAAAAGGGCCACAAATCTGTGTTGGGAGGGTCCTTCGCAGATAAATGACCCTTGGTGAAAACGATGCATAAAGTACAACTGGCTATTGTCAACCGGTTGGTTTTCTATTTTTATTGGGAACGTTTCCAGGAAGTCTTGCTTTTTGCCTCCAAATCTGGAGGCTTCACGCAACATGTCCCGGAAATGTTGTAATCCCCAGCAAGATCGAAACGTATTTCTAGGGTGACATCTCCAGTTAAATCACCATTATATTTCCATTCATATCTATTAAATCCCATTAATCCATCCATACTCATGGAATAATATGAGCATGCTACCCATGTTCCATCACTTTTTGCATGAATGATGCATGTCGATGATCATTAATAATCATATTCGCCACTGATAGTTTCATCCCAGGGCAATTCACTAATTCACTAATTCACTAACCTGAAAGATGATGCTAAATTAGATCAATTAGTGATAATAGTTCTGTGGTTAGGATTCGAGGGATCACTGAAATCCCATTCACTAATAATTCACTATTTGCCCATTCTGCGTTAATTCACTATAACCTGAAATAAGATGAAATAATGCTATATTGGACTGGGGGCTGCTGGGTTTTCACGTTTAGACTAAGTTTAGACGTGAAAAAAACGCAATCTTTTGATTGTTTTCCAAATAAGCAATTGGTTGTCCACATCCATGTAAACCTTTACCCCAGGATACCTCACCAAAATCATCACCTATCAACCCCTGCTGGAGGTCGTTTTCCATCATACCAAATAGGGGGCCCAATCATGAACCCTGCTGGGGGATGGGTGAACATTTGACAAAATTGAGCTACCCTTTGGCTATTTAACATAGCTATGGAAAATGGTCCATTGCAAGGGGATTTATGATGATTTACCTATCAAACATGTCGATTTTTCATAGCTACGTTAAATAGCAATATGCTTTTGTGACAATACACAAGTACTCAGCAGTCATATTTTCGGGTATGATGCCATTCTCTAGAGACAGCATCAAGACGGCAGCGCAGAAGAGAATCATCATGAGTGAGGGGAGCCAAGATAGGCCAAACAAAAAGCCGAACTCTAATTTGGACCCATTAATTATCCAAGAAACCTTTGTGGAATGCATTGAATTTCGTCATTTGAGTGTCTGAAAATATCTGAAAATTAAAACCTAGTACCCCATTCCATCCAATGGTCTTTTTTTCATCAGTTCCCCTACCAACATTGCAATGAATTGCGTTGAATCCTCTATTTTTATCCATTTTTAGACTCATGTTATTGATGGTTACCCTCTGGTAATTTGTTACATAGCTATTGAAAATGACCATTTATAGTGAGTTTTCCCATTAAAAATTGTGTTTTTCCATAGTTATGTTAGTTCACCAGAGGGTACTCGGAGGTATTCTGACCCGCGTCATCGCGCAGAACCGCTTCTTTTTCTGGACGGAACAACCATCGCTCGCATCGCTCGCGGTTGACGCACGGAGTTCTTTCGGACAGCTACTCTGCAAAAGACAGCTGTCGAAGAGGGGACACGATGTAAAGGCCACGTTTAAGGCTTTCCAGTTTGTATTTGCCGAATCCCTCTGATTTTAGGGTTTGATGGATTCCTGTTTGCATCGGCCATCATTTACAGTTCTTTGTGTTATCATCATGTTATCGATTCAATATTGTCACACACACACATATATATATTCAGATTCGATGATGAAACATATCACGCTTCAACAAGGTAGCACGTTAGGGCTGTAACCAACTTCCAACTAGAAGGGGAATGCAAAGGCCTGCGGCGCTACAAATTTGCCGAACATGTTACATGACCTTGTTGTTTTAGGTCTTACGAACATGACTACATGACTGCTTCAGAAAGTAACCTCAAGGGACGAGGGTTCATTCTTAGGAACACATTCGCCCGAATAGTAACTGGTTGGTGGTGCAATAACCATCTTGAAAAATATGAAAGTCAATGGGAAGGATTATCCCATATCATATGGAAAAAAACATGTTCCAAATCACCAATCAGGTGAATTCCATCTTCATTCCGCCCATATCCCCTTGCGCAGAGAAGCAGAGCTGCTCACAGGGAATGGAAAGTCTTTTGCGCACCATGGGCATTGATGCCGGCGATGGATATTAAGGGTGAGTGCGCGTCTGCGGATACCATCTTCAGATTCAAGTGCGAACAAAAAACCACTGGGCACTTTCAATCCTTGGAATTCCAAGCGCAGAGATCTGGTTCAACTGTGTAACTGCGTTGAACTTTAGTAGAGTACTCCACCAACTCCTCCAAAAAATGGTCAATTCAGGTAGGGTTCGCCCATTCCGGGGTTAGTGTCTTCAACCCCCCTGAATATCGATCATCAGGATTGAACAGTGGAACGGTAAACCAACATATTCAATGGCCGTGACTCAGGAACCGATTGATTGGAGGTACCTACCATATATAAGGCCTATATATGCCTATATAAGGCTTATGTAAGGGAAGATCCCCACAAAATATGGCCTTATATGGTACAGTACCTCCATGTTAGGATCCTGGAATTCCCATTGACATATTGAAACTACCAGTGTTAGTTCCCCTAGGCTCAACTAACCTAGATGTGACCCCCCACTCCAGCATTTGAAGATCATTTTCTTCGGGAAACAAACCGTTTTCCACATCTGTTTGTAAACGTTTAACCTATAGTGTAGCCTCTGGAAAGCCAAAACTATGGAAATCACTTTTTTTTTAGGTAAATCAACGTGGAATTCACCATCTTTAATTAATAGGAGAAAAATTAGGTAAATCAAGTATAAATGGACCATTTTCAAGTTCGCAAACTGTTAGTTTACTGTACCCAAATGGGTACCCCCTGGTAAACGTTTACAAAAAACTATGGAAATATTCACCATGCTATTCATGGGAAAATTCACTATTTCTATGGTGATTTTCCCATCAGTTATGTAACAAATTGCCAGAGGTTCACCGAAAAAAAACTGTGCTTTTCCCATGTCGGACGAATCTACTTTCAGGATCATCGGTTAAAGGATCAAAACGATCACCAGGGATCCTACCAGATTTCTACGATGTGAGGAAGATGATCCTCCCATTTCTGAACATCCCATGAAAAATCATATGAGCATCCATGAAAAATCCCATGAAATCCATCAAAACTCCCTCAAACAATCACATTAAATCATATACACAACCCATGAAAAATCATATGAACATCTATTAAATCCCAGTAAAAATCCCTATTTGTTGATATATTTAAACCTCCAGTTCCAGCTAGTTAACTTATCCAAGCATATCTAAGCAACAACAGGGCTAAAAGATCTGACCTTGCCAAGGCATCGCTCCACGGATGGCAGTGGAAGTCGCCAAAAAAAAACTACCTCCATCTTCAAACACTACGTAGCACTTGGGCAACTCAGGAAATCTTTGATGTGCTTCAGCGATTCAATCAACGGCCATTCCAGGATCCTAAAATGGAGGTACGTTAGTACCATATGAGGCCATATTTTGTGGGGATCTTCCCTTACATAAGCCTTATATAGGCCTTATATATGGTAGGTACCTCCAATCAATCGGTTCCTTTTCGTCATGGCCATTGAAGAATCGTTTTGGCTAGTCATTCAGGGTATGAACTAACTGTTACCAGTTGCCTCTTTTTTTTTTTGCGGCAGAAAAAGCCACAAAAACCACAACAACTCATTGAAGCACATGCTTCCGGCAACCAAGTGGTGATTGATTCTTCGATACTTCGGTCATCCTGGGTTGCCGCCGAAATCTTAGCTGTATTGGAATGTAGTGGCTGGATCTGTTCATGTTTTTTTTTTAGGGTCCCACAACAGTAGGGGGTAGTTCATATGATTGAGGAATGTTTCATTGCCCCCATTATATCAACTCCATATCCGATTTAAACATATTAAAACCATCATGTCCCTGTGACAAATCCCAACTGTTGATGGTTAGTCCCAACATGGTGGGACTATGTGGGATTATCAAAAGGCCAAGGAAAATCTGTGCACACCTGCGCCTAGAACTACTAGAGATACCCGGTAAGATCTGCAATCCATCGCTGAATCGAGAGGTCATCCACTTGGTAAACACTACAGGATGGGGCCCGCGTTGGTTGTTGCGTTCAGTTGCCTCAGAAAAGTGGCCGAAAAAAACATGAACAAACGATGGTTTATGGTAGATACGTCACGAACTGGTTAAGATAGCGTTCAGTTGTTTTATAAGTGGCTGAATTCTATGGTTTATGGTAGATATAACTATAGTATTCATGGGGGGTTTGTTATGGTTTAACCAACGTTCACATCACTAGGAACCCTTATCCTGTAGCACTTAACGAATCCGTGCATCCAGGTATCACCTGATCATCCAAGGTAGGTGGTGAATAACTATGGTTAGTCGTAGCCATGTAGCCATTGATGGGATTACTGGTTGGTGGTTTCAACCCCTCTGAAAAATATGAAAGTCAGTTAGGATGATGACATTCCCAACTGAATGGAAAAAAATCATGTTCCAAACCACCAACCAGTTATGTACACTATTATATCACTATTATACACTATTATACACTATTATCACTTATATATATAATGGATATAGATATAATGGTAATTATATGATATAATGGATAACTACTCCTGCAACCCAGGGGTTCAGCAGAGGTTCAGCAGGGGTTCAGCGGCTCAGAGGTAGAGCCGCGAGAGAATACTGATGAGACCTGTGGATTTCTCCGAGATCTCATGGGATTGGGATCTTCCGATGGCCATTTTTGAATGGGGGGATTGGAAAATTGGATACCCTTTAAGGTAAACATTGAGAAAGTGGATTTACCATCATTTACCCATATAAAAAATCGTGATTTTCCGACTTCTAGTTGATTTACCCATTAAAAAATGCATGTTTCCCCAAACGTTGTTTCCCAGGCCGGGATTGGAGACCAAGATGGCCACATCCCCATCCAGAGTTCAATTCCCAGCGAGGTCCTATTGAGATGATCCATAGAGATGATCAGAAAATCATCGCAGGATCAGAGTTCAGTTCAATGGGAATCTCAGGATCCTAAAATGGAGGTACCGATTCCATATATTTTTGGCCTATTTTTCAGGCCTATGTAAGTGAATATCCCAATGATCTGGAAATGGTAAATGGGTAAATTTACAGGAAATGTCTTAATCATCTTATTGGATTGCATCCATTGGTTGATGGGGGGAAATTGGAACCGGAAATCCCCATGATCTGGAAATGGTAGTATTACCCATGGTAAAACCGGTGAAGATGTTCCAACCAATCCAGCGATTTACCTCGTCCATGTCCAGGAATGTTCATTGACATAGCCTCTGGTAAACTAACATAGCCTATAGCTATGGAACATCACTATAAATGTGCCATTTTCAATAGCTATGTATTGACTGGTGCGCGGGCCTCTTTGCCTTTGGCACCTGTGGGCGGCCAGCACTGGTCCAGAACTATATATAAATTTCTCAGAACTACATATGAATGGATTGGTTTAAGGGAAAATTTGCAGGAAAGCTCCATATTTAATGGGAAAATCTATGAATCTATGGTTTCCGGTTCAGATTTTCCCTTAAACCAATCCATTGAATATAAACAATTACCACAGGGTATCTCCCCAAGATGGATTTTTTCAAGTCAGTGGGACCTTGAAACAACCATGGTGGCTCAGGGATAACCCATGACCTACTCTCTGCTATGTTCTTACACTTTGCGAACTTGAAAACGGCCCAATCGAAATAGTTGATTTACCGACGAATAGCATGGTGATGTTCCATAGTTATGTTAGTTTACCAGAAGGTAAGAAGCCATCAAGACCATCATTGTTGAGCCGGTGAATATCCCAAAATATCCCAGATCTGTCGAGCTTGGAGCTGAACTCATGGAACTCACTTCATCCCCTCAAATGTAAAAGTCCCAGGGATCATCAGTGATCAATAACCATGTGTAAAAACATTGAGAAATAGGATGCAACATACTTAGAAATAGGATGCAACTAGGAGGGAGATATTTATATATATATATATGTATATATCATATCATATATATATAAATATCACACATATATATACGTCTACATCTAATATATCCCAGTTGTAGGTGTTTTCACATCTTTTTCCCCGGGTTTGACCATGTTTCACCTGAAACCATGGCGACGAAGATGTAGACCTGCTTCAGAAAGACCTCCCGTGTGAGTTTCACATCTCGCACGGTAAAGCCTGCCGAGCTGTCGGCAATGAAGTGCACCAGGTATTGACGATCCAGGTCGATCAAGATGTGGGTCGGAATCCTCATAGATCGATGGGAAAACATGGGAGAACTCTGGCAGCGGCAAAACGATGGAAACGACTCTGAGATCATATGGAAAATATGGGGATGGTATGGGATCAGTATAGGATTTAATGGTTATATCCCATTTATCAATGAAATAACATTAAATAACCCTAGAAAGGTGATAGATTAAGTTGGTAAAGGACATCATCGAACTAGTGACATGGATGAAAAACCATAGAGGACACCTATAGCGGCTATCCCGGGCATTCCATGGCATCAGATTTACCAAAGGTGTTACCATCTGGTAATTTAACATAGCTATTGAACATTGCCACTTAGAGTGAATTTACCCATTGAAAATGGTGATTTTTCCATAGTTATGTTAGTTTACCAGGGGGTACCCATGCCAAGGTGGATTTGGAAATACTGTGGATGGTTGCGAAATCCTGCACCAGTTGATAGATGATGATAGATAGGTTATCCCATGATTTACAGGGTTTCAACCATCCTTTTGGTGATGTAGGATTTTACAACCATCCACGGTATATGGGAAATATGTGTGGCAGTGGGTGAAATGGATGTCGGGAACGAGTTTTTTTTTCTGGTGATTTAAAGGAAGAGTTTAAAACAAGAAAACTGGTTGGTGGTGCAATGTGCCCATCTTGAAAAATATGAGTTCGTCAATGGGAAGGATGACATCCCATATATGATGGAAAATAAAACGTTTTCCAAACCACCAACCAGATTAATACTGACTGACCAATGGATCATTCCCTCATTCCCTGCTAAGCACCAGTACGATTATGGAAAATTCCAAAAATGTTTGAAACCACCAGCCAGATTTTCGCATCCAAGTTTCTGATTCACAAAAGCCGGCATGGCCCGACACTTCTCAGTCAAGTCAGCTCCATGAGCCGTCACGCGCATGCTAACCAGCAGAAGGAAAGGCAAGGGCAGAGAGGACAGGCTTTCCTGGGGATCAGTTGTTGGTCAGTTCGGGTTGCCAGAATTTTGTTTTGAGTCTCTAACTGTTTTTTTAAGCCAATTGGGATGATTATTCCTAATATATGGAAAATTAAACATGCTCCAAACCACCAATCAGTTAGTTATATTAGAACTGAAGGATTTCCTTTGCCTAACTGGATTGCCAGAGGTCCTCGCTATCAACACATAAAAGAAAACCACGGAGCTACTATCAACAAACAGATCTTCCAGGGAAATGATAGCTTTACCAAAGTGATACTGCGGATAGTTGCGACATCCTGCACCAGTTGGCAACTATTGGGAACTAAAACACTGTAAATAATTAACGGGATTACAATGGGATAAATCATCGTTTTCAACTGGTGCAGGATTTCGCCACCATCCACCGTACGTTTTGAAGCTCCTGTTTCACCCAGATTCAACCAGGAAAGGTGCAACCTCTATGCCCGTGCGGAACGCCATCGTCACTCCACTCACCTTTTAGGCAAAAAAAGGAGGGAAGCGGTGTGTTTGAAAGTGGGGTCGCACTAAATCCATTGCTTAATCATCATTTCACCATAGTACACCATAGTACACCATATTTCACCATATCTTCATATATGATGTTCCCAATCAATTATATGAAACTTATCATTTTCACCTTTGGACTGCCATTTTGGGCGGCCATACCACATATCTAAAACACAGCCAATATACAAGCATGACAGTTGAGTCACTTGAGATTTGAAAGGCGAACATGGCAGCAAAATTTAAACAGAATGGGAACAACCGAAGCTCATCCAATAGCGCCATGGCGTATCATGTCAAACACGAAGATCACGAAGCACTTCGACATTAGTTTGCTATGGAAAAACACCATTTTTAAGTTCGGTAAACCAATGTAAAGCATCTATAAATGGAGGTTTATCCTCTGGTAAACATACAAAAAGCTAACTGGAAAAACACCATTTTTCCAAGTTCGGTAAATCAACTATTTAACTATGGGCCATGGCTTCCAGTTCGCAAAGTGTTTCACAATTTTTCCCAGAGGGTATCTACCATAAACCCAGCGTTGTGACGTTGGGGTTGATTAATCTCGATGCATTGGTTACGGGGAAAATCTGTTTTTACCACCAATTTTTTCAATACTGTTTCCGTAGATTTTCCCACCAATTCACCTAGCGACCTATCTTTCAGCTAATCTTATCTCTCAAAACCAGTTCAAAAAAAACCATCAAATCCCCATCCTTCAGAAGGCTAAATCAGTATTTTCCGATGGCTTTCCTATCAATGGGAGATCTCCAGGATCCTAAAACGGAGGTACGTTAGTACCATATTTTGGGCCATATTTTGTGGGGATCTTATCTTCCTTTACATAGGCCTGAAATATATAGGCCAAAAATATATGGAATCGGTACCTCCAATTTATTTCGCTTCCTGAGTCACCAGGAAGTACATGAAGCCGATGGATGCCATGAACTGCATCGCCAGAAAACTGATGGCCAGTTCTCGTCCCACGCATTTCAGCAGCGCTTGCATGGCGTTCCAGGTTTCGACGCCGCGGGGGAAGTTCAAATGCTCCACAATCTGACCTCGGGTAAGTTTGTTTACCCGGCCTAAGAGTACACGTTAACAAACAATGGATGGGAAAATCACCATGCTATTCATGGGAAAATCAACTATTTCTATGGCTATTTTCAATAGCTATGTAACAAATTACCAAAGGATTTAAGGCTTTTTAAACATACTGGTTGGTGGTATACCTACTTTTCTGAAAAATATGAAAGTCAGTTGGGATTATTATTTCCATCTATGGAACAAAAAAAATGTTCCAAACCACCAACCAGTATAGTTAACCATATGACATGTTCTTAATATATTTGTTTAAATAGATTTTTGCCAATAGAAATGCTGTAGAAGTGGGTTTACAAACATCATAGCAACTGTAGGTAGTGGCCTTTTTTGGGCTTTAAACATAGCTAATAGTTAACCATTAAAAAAATCATTAAGCATAGTAACTGTAGAAGTAAACCGTAGCAACTGTAGCTGGTTACAAACACCATAGTAAACCATTTTTGCCAGTAGAATTGTTGTAGAAGTTGGTTTATAAACACTTTTTCGTTACAGTAGTTACCCTCTGGTAAACTAACAGTTTGCGAACTGGAAAATCCAACCATCTTTAAGTTCGGTAAACCATTGAACTTTCTATGGGCCATCAACAAACCATGGCTATGTGCAATAATGAGAGGGTATATCCCATTAATATCCCATTAAATCACTATAAAAACCCATTAGATCACTGTTATGTGGGGAACATGTTGGGATGGAATCCAATGAATCCAATGAATCTCACCGAAAATGGACGGTCCAAGGTCCGTAAGGTGGTGCCCGAAAATGGATATCATAGGGATTTTCCATGGATTTTATGGTAATTTTATGGTGATTTAATGGTGATTTAATGGGGATGGCATACCCTCTGGTAATTTGTGAAACACTTTGCGAACTGGAAGCCATGGCCCACAGTTTTTTTTAGTTGATTTACCTATAAATAGCATGGTGATTTTCCAGTTCGCAAACTGTTAGTGTACCAGAGGGTAAACCCAACAAATGTCACAATGGAGTGTCTCCTGAAGAGATCGACGGCAGAATGATGGGGCTTCCTGTAGATTTCCCAACTAAGGCTGTCGCTCAACAACAGGCATCATTCCGATTGTATCACAGCACTGAGATCGAATTAGATATTCATTGCAAAGCCACAAAAGGTAACATCAAAACAGATAGAATTTCTAGTTTTTAGAGGTTTCCTTCATGTAGTTTCATGTAGTTTCAATATATTCTATGGCGCAGGGTTGCGCCAAACCTTTTTCCATGGCAACGATGTACCTTTTTCCCCACGTTTTTCTGAGCGTTGACCTTTTTCAGCAAAGGATACGAGTGGAGGTGGTATTGGGCCACCAAACGAAATAGCGGATTTATTGGACATCAATCATTGGGTGTTCATTCAATGGGAATTTCAGGCTAAAATGGAGGTGCTGTACTATATTTTGGGCCATATTGTGTGGGGATGTTCCCTTACATATGCCTTATATGGGCCTTATATATATAATATATATATATGTACGTGTGTGGTAAGTACCTCCAATTTAGGTTCCTGAAATGGCCCGTTGATTCATGGTCTTTTCTATGGTGGTCAAGGAGCAGCACCAGCAATCCAAGCTCTTGTCCAGTCCAATCAGCAAATGACTCTGCAGATATGCCGATAGCAGCACCACAGCACTGGAAACGGTGAAACTGATGATGGAGAACACCTGCAATCAATGGGAACTCCAGGATCCAATACATGGAGGTACGTAAACGTACATGTTAGTACCATATTTTGGGCCATATGAATTGTGGGGTATATCCCCCTAAAATTTAGCCCTTAAAAATAGGCCCAAAATATATGGAATCGGTACCTCCGAAGTTCCTGACACCTCCAAGGCCACGTGAAAAATCTCCAGAGGCCACAAAAACATGAAAAATGTCACAGTTCAGGGGGTCAGAAAAACCCATGATGGATGCTACATGAAAACTACACAACAGAACTACCCTCCGGCAATTTCACAGTTTGCTTTGTAGTAGATGGCCATAGTTATAGTAGATTGTTTCATTAAAAAGTGTGATTTTCCCATCAGTTATGTGAAAGTTTACCAGAAGGTAAAACCACCAGCCAGTGCAATCGACATCAACTAGCGGGATGACTTGGACGCCACTTTTTTTCTTTCCCAATGGCCCACATATTCCAAGCAAATTCATCACTTAGGATTCACCAATCGGAATATGAAACGATTGGAGAACATCACTGGCTCAGCAAATCCAGTGGATCATGTCCCAAATTCTTGCCCTATATATATATGTGTGTGTATATGTGTATATATATATATCTGTTTAATATCTGTTTAATCCCTTGAGCAATTGATCCATGTTTCTGAGTTGGCTCTCTTTGTTGACACCGGACTATGTGGACGGGGACCCCGGCTGACACTCCAGTGTAGCCAGCTTGAGGGTGCTGTTTTGCTTGTTAATGGGTGTGCCTGCGGGATTTTAACCCCCAAAAGTTAGGACATGTCAATGGGAATTTCAGGATCCTAAAATGGAGGTACTGTACCATATAAGGCCATATTTTGTGGGGATATCCCCTTAAATAGGCCTTATATATGGTAGGTACCTCCAATCAATCGGTTCCTGAGTCATGGCCATTGAACATGGGGCCCCAACAATATATAGCTACCCGCATATCCATGGAACATAATGGAACTGCAGCCCTAAGAAAGGTTTACACCCCTGAAAACGACCAGGACACAACAATAGGCAATTTCCAGTAGGCATTCCGGACCCCATTTTCGAGGTTCCACGTTGCTTTTTAGGAGGGTGGCCCCCCCGTAAACATACAAAACGATGTGGCAAACCAAACATTTGTAGGTTATTTCCTGGAAAGAAAATGCCCTTTCCACATCTTTTTATGTTTACCGCAGGGTACCTAGTAACCCTGCCTGAATCACATGCTTGAAAACTCTGATCTCTGTCGTCACATCCTCTGATACAGCCAAATACGTTTCCGTGCATTGCGTTGCGGTGAAGAGAAGCAGCATGATACACCAGGCCACAGTGTATTTCCTCCACTCCTTTCCTGACATTTCCTGGGCACATGTGGCAAACACAATGCCATGAAGCATCCCCAGGACGCCAACCGTAAAAGGACGCAATGTAATTCATCAACCCAATTACTGCAAGTACTAGGACCATACTGGACCATACCCCACCATAAACCCCAATTTTGGGATGGGTTTACCTCATGAAACTCATGTTTTTTTCGGGATCTCTTGGGGTATGCCCGATCTGTTGGAAATGTGTCAACTTGGAGGATCATCAACAAACATCGAGATGCAGTTGATCCGTTTTGTTCTGCGTAGCACCTAAAAATGTGTCATTTTTTGCCGGGTATGCAAGCTTGGCAAGTCATTGCTCAGGTGAAATGTTCTTGCTATGCTATAAATTCTTCCTCTGAGCAATATCATGGCCAACACAAGATATGCCAGCTTGTGTTGGATCCAAAATCAGGCCATGCGTGACTCCGATTGAATGGTGAGACACAAAATGACGGCCATGCTTCAAGTGCACAAGTGCTCGTCCTATCTACCACCATCCATAGAATTCATCTACTTAAAACTCATTAATCAACTTAGCTGACAGCTAACTAACATTGGATTGGTTTGAAAGAAAATCTGCAGGAAACCATTGTTTTTTACCATTAAATATGGGGGTTCCCGGTTCCAATTTTCCCTTAAACGAATCCAATGAAACTATGAGGCCTCACCTTGCAGGAGGTCCCTGTTTGAATTCGACAAATGTCGTTCCACCGCAGCTTGAAGTCCGACACAAAGACATGTAGCCGCGCTGTAGCCAGGTGTAAGTCATTGGACCTTGAACGGCCCAAACGCTGGATTGCATCGTATCTTTTCATTTAGGGTCGGAAATTGAGTGTGTCTTACATTAGGGAAAAAGGATGAAGAAGGGTGGTACATTCTTTGACCAGACATGTGATGATAATTCCATGGTAGGTCCATGGTCCATGCCTCCTGATGTTTGATGATATTCGATGCAAATCTTGAACATTTGATCATCATTCTGCATCATTCTGTGCTTTATGCACACCACTCCGCTTGAAGAATCAACACTAATCTCTGATCCGATGAGGTTTCATTCCCTTTTCAGGATGGAGCACCAAAAAGTTGAGCTTTTTGAAATCACCAACCGAAACCCTTGTGCAAGTTGGCAATGTGATTGAAACCGGATTCATGGCTTTATGATTGTTAACTCTTTTCACCAATAATAAGCAGCCCTCTAGACTTGGTTTCATGATGGTCTTCGGATGGGACCAGTTCTGTGCCCAACATGTTGGATCAGTAATTCTACCCGGATCTCACCAAGCCATTTTGTACAATCCCACTTAAGCACATATCTGCCCTCATAGGATCATTCTCATTCAGCTTTCTCTGAAAATGGACTCCCATAAACATGGCAATTTCAATGTCAAAACATAATGATAGGCCATCAAACTGCATCACATAGGAAACCCATTCTGGTTGGTGGTTTCAACCACCGTGAAGAATAAGTTTGTATCATCATCCCAATGGTATGGTTAAAATAACGGCATGTTTGAAAGCACCAATTAAATCATCGTTGGCGTGTCCATTCTACATCCCCATATATTGGATGATAATAGATATATATATATAGATTTACCATCTGGTTATTCAACATAGCTATGGAAAATGACGGTTGGCAGATGATTTATGATGATTTACTTATTAAACACCGCAAGTCTCCATGGCTATATAGAACCAGAGGGTACGTATCAACCCTTTCTGAGCAGCCAAGCCTTAACGCATTGCCCAAAAGGAAGACGCAGGTAGTGGCCAGCAAACCATAGAGCATCAGGGAAGCCTTGGCTTTGTCCGATAGAGCTAAACATTCGCAGCCTGTCAGATGCAGCAATGTTTCCCATCAAAAACACACACACACAAAAAAAAAAAAAATTGACACGAGTGGAAAAGGTTCAATGCACCAATTTCTAAGCCCAAAAAAATCTAAGTGTGGGAAATCCCCGGGATTTCTTGGTCGGAGAGCCAGTGTGAAGGCGTTGACGGCTGCAATGGGTGCCGCTGGATAGAGCATGCCAAAGGCCACCACCAGGAAAATGTGGCAAAATGCGGGGAAGAAAATCAGCAAGTACAAGAGCTTGGGATAGTTCGTGATCAGCCTGGGACGGTCTTGTTGTACTAGCTGCTAGCTGGTGAGTGATTCTAACCATTTTGAAAAATATGAGTTCGTCAATGGGAAGGATTATCTCAGATATTTTGGAAAATAAAACATGTTTGAAACCACCAACCAGTTAGGTTTTAATGGGTAGAATGTACTTCAATAAGCCATCTGCAGTGAAATATGCAACAGGAGTGGACGCGCAGATGCAATCATAACTGGTTGGTGGTATACCTACCCCTCTGAAAAATATGAAAGTCAGTTGGGATCATTATTCCCAACTGAATGGAAAAATAAACAATTGTTCCAAACCGCCAACCAGATCAGAAATGGGCAGACTTTCGTTTTGCCGGAGGTGCCCAGCTAAGATAAACTCTGATCATTGCCCCTGACCCCGGGTCCAGGTTGTAAAAGTGGCCTTCCAACCCGCAACTCATTCCATTGCCTTTATAAATTGGAGGGAAGGTTACTCGGGGGTGCAGATGGGGTTAGTTATACATGGGTAGAACCATGGCGTCATGACACCCATTTTTGTTGACAAGGAACCTTTAAAACTATGGTTATCTACGTACATAAAACTTGGAACAACCCTCTGAAAAATATGAAAGTCAGTTGGGATTATGATTCCCAATATATGGAAAAATAAAATTCATGTTCCAAACTTCCAAACCACCAGCCAGGATTGTTAGTACCTTACCTAAGTCAATTCCTGAGACGGTTTTCTGAAAGGACCCAACTGCGATCCCCAGCCCCAGGGCCTTGAACTTGGTGATGACGGGGGGTGGTCTTCTTCGGGCGCGAGCGCGGGTGACAAATCGGAATGCGACTCCAAAATCATGGCCTGCAAATGAGCATTCACAGCGAAATCATAGGGAAATCACATGTTGTGCTTGAAGGCTTATGGCTTGTCATAAGAAAAAAAAAGTTGAAAAAGGGCATCAGTTGGTTTTTGAGCAGGTTGAAGTCAGCTGGGAAGGGAAGAATAGGGAATTCAAAAGGGATATACAATGGTGAGAAAATTAAAAACCATGGCGTGTAGTCAGCACTGAACATTCAAAGTAAGTACTTGGGAGGGTTTAATGGAATTACTCGCAGCTCTTCAATTTAAAATTCTTGTGCTCCTTTTAGGACATGCAGTGCGGAATGATGGGAGATTGGAGAGGGAATAACGAAAAACAAATGGGGATTTAATCCTTCTCACGGGGACGCATTCAATCTGACAGCATTTCAATGCAGGTTTTCGGGGGTTAGAGGAAGTTTAAATTATATACCAGTAGTACCGCGCAAGGCGGTGGCAGAAGTTTCAAAAATAGGAAAGCTATAGGAGGTTGTTGCTGTGACACACGAATGGCAGAGCGAACCCACTGATGGACCGAAAGGTGGTTGGAGTTGTGTTTTTTGGTGTGGTTGCAGTGGCTGCAGTGGTCACCTCACGACAACTGTTGGATGTAGTGTGGTGTAGTGCAGTTGTAGTTGTAGGTGTAGTTGTAGTTGTAGTGTAGTGTAATTAGTGTAGCGCAGTTGCAATTGCATTTGCGGTGGTGTAATGAGTGTAGTGTAATGTAATGTAGGGCAGTGTAGCTGCGCGTAGCCTAGTGTAGTGTAGTGTAAAGTAGCGTAGTTGTAGCTGTAGTTGTAGTTAGTGTAATGTAGTGTAGTGTGGTGTGGTGTAGTGTGGTTTCTTGCGGTGTAGCGTAGAGTAGTGTAGTGTAGTGTAATGTAATTAGTGTAGTGTAGTGTGGTGTGGTGCAGTGTGGTGTGGTGTAGTGTGGTGTGGTGTAGTGCAGTGTAGTGTAGTGTAATCTAATTAGTGTAGCGTAGCGTAATGTAGTGTAGTGATAGTGTTATGTACTGTAGCTGGAGTTGTAGTTGTAGCTGTAGTTAGTGTAGTGTAGTGTAGTGTCATTGAATGTAGTGTAGTGTAGTGTGCTAATGTAGTGTAGTGTAGTGTGTTGGAGTGGAGTGTAGTGTGGTGGAGTGAAGTGTAGTGTAGCGCAGTGTAGTGTAATGCATTTAGTGTAGTGTAGTGTGGTGTAATGTACTGTAGTTGTAGTTGTATTCTATCGTAGTGTAGTGTAGTGTAATACAATGTAATTAGTGTAGTGTAATGTAATTAGTGTAGTGTCGCGTAGTGTAGTTGTAGTGGTAGTTGCGTTTGTAGATGTAGTGTGGTGTAGTGTAGCGCAGTGTGCACGTCTTCTGCTTGGGGCTGTCACCCTTACACGGCATATGCATAACCGTTTGGGAATTCTGAGCGATGTGTTCGGCTTGACATGAGTACCAGCTATGAAACCGTGGGTGCATGGTCATCTCATGAACCGTTCAAGGCTCAAAGTGCACCCTTGACGTCGCAGCAGTTAACCAATGATCTGAGAATATCTGAGACGACCAGTAACAATTTCATGACACCCAACTTGGCAAAGCAAGTCCTCTAAGCCTGGAAACTGCAGCAAAATTTTTACACCCTGAAAGAAACTTAACTAAAAGAAACGTTTTTTGAGTTGTCGCATGTTCTTTCGCATGCTTTCCTTGTCTGTTATGGCCAGCCGGAAACTGCCCAACCAACAAGGTGGTGCCCCCCCAGTTATAAGTTGGTTTATAATCCCCATCAACTATAAATAATTATAAATATAACCCCCATAAACCCTAGTTATTGGAGTTATGTTCACCAACTGAACGCGATTCCGAACGGGGGCACCACCTTGAACGGTTTCTGTGACCGAAACCGTTTCCGGCGACGCGGCACGCCTGTGCACTCTTGCTGATGGAGTGCATTTGAGATCCACGATTCCGCTGTGGGATTCCCAGATGTCGCCGGTCTTCCTGTATCATGTTGGGTAAATTGGGCGAATCGTCCTGGCTGCCAGGGAACACTTTTTTCACGGTACCCGAGTAGAACAACATTGTGTATGATGTTTCATGACGCATTTCTCAATCCCCAAAGTTTTTACCCAAATCTCCAGCCTAAATTTCGGCAACCACACATATCCAGTGCCGTTTTTTAAGACAAATATGGCTTGCAATACTTAAGACTTAAGATGCTTAAAAAAACTGGGCATTCTCAAGACAACCACTTGCCCTTCACCAGTCGGTTGACATTTTTTTCGCACAAATCACTACAACATGCTGGATGGTTTGGTCCAAAATTAGGCCACCCCGGAAATCATAATGTTCCTCAATTGTCCCCTGCAGGATGTGGCCCCCAAGATAGCTAAGTTGCCTTATAAGTGGTTTAACTGTGGTTTATAGTAGATTTAACTATAGTTGAAGGGGTTTATATATTAACCAACTCATAACTGGGGGGGGCACCATCCTGTGTGAAATTGCCAACTCATTACGGTGCAAAGCCGTCCTCGCTGAGGAAGTGTTTGGGCCGCGGCATTGGGACAATGGCCATCCCATCCGCTGAACCCAGGGTATGAATGCTTGGACTCCCTTGTGTGTCATAAATCTGCTGCGAATCCTAGGCTTGCGGGTTTGGTTTTGAAGTGTTTCCCACATTCAGAGGGAAATCTTCATGGTGTTTAATGGGAAATTCTGGAATAAAACAACTAATAGCAAACTGGATCAATGTCATCATAATTCATCAGGCTGCGTACTTGTTCCCCTGAAAATGAGCGTTGGCACCGTGGGTTCCAAATAATTTTTGCAACGACCTCACATTTCTACACCACTGGAATTATTTCATATATTTCGTGTGGAGTCACTATTCCATGGGCAATTTTGGATAATCCACAAAAAATTGTTGGTTCTGGTTAGTTTCCGCTTATAGCAAACAACTAAAGCATTAAACTACCAATCCAAGGTTATTTCTATCCTCCAAGCAACGTACAGTGCGCCGAGCTCTCGCAGCACCGCGCTATCCATTTCCAGCATGCTGGGGATGCCTCTGGGCATGCCCGGTGTCAACGAAGCAGAAGATGTAGGGAGGGACCTCCTGGCAGCGACCAGCAAAAATCGAAAAACCAATGATTGCTGGTTGGTGGACTCCCCTCTGAAAAATATGAAGGCCAAATGGGATCATTATTCCCAATACATGGGTATGATTCGGGGGTATGATTCGCACAACTCGAACATCCTGCCTTTGCTAAAATCTGCACGCATTAAAAAAAGACAGAGCCATATGGAAAAATAAAATTCATGTTCCAAACCACCAACCAGATTGGATGGTGGGCTCAGCAATTGTCAACGCAGCATGAATAGTACAGCAACTCAACACCTTTGAGGACACCTCTGTCAACCAGTACACAGAAAGAAACCGTGCCAACATGCACACCGGCCCAACCATCCAAAAACCGGTTGGATTTCAACCATCAAATTGGAAAGTGACAAAGACAACAAGCAAATGCTACCCACTGCAAAAAATGAGTACCTAAACATGTTGATGTCATTGAGGACAAACGTTTTACATGCTGAAGCGAGATGATGCGTTTGGATGCAAAATTCGACATAAGACAAATGCGGATACACAAACTGATCCCACAAAATTGTGCGGCCCAATCAATCAAGACAACGACGCCAACGAACATGGGAAGGGAATCATGAAAACATTGGAATACGCTCGAATAATTTCACAATTTTCAGTCAAAGGCCGCCCTTTGTGAATGACTTACCCTCTGGCAATAAAACGTTGCAATTGAAAATTGGCCGTCTATTTAATTTCTGGTTGGTGGTATACCCCTTTGAAAAATATGAAAGTCAGTTGGGATGATGAAATTCCCAATAGATGGGAAGTCATCAAAATCAATGGTTCCAACCACCAAGCAGATAATCCCATTATTAATCCCATCATCAACCATCATTAACCATTATTAACAATCATTAACCATTATTAACCATCATTAACCATTATTAACCATCATTAACCAGTATTAACCATTGTTAACCATTATTCACCATCATCATCATCATCATGTTCCAAACCACCAACCAGTTCCTATTTGAATCTCCATCCATCAAGGACTTTCCATTGCTGGCCAAAGGGTGCCCCAAAAAAAGATGCCATGGACCTCGGTCCCATGGCTACTGCGTTTACCCCTCCAATAACCAATGTTTGTAGATCTTCATCCCAGCAAAAATGGCATTTCATAGGTTTTGGTCCCTGTATCACCCTATATATCCCTATAATGTGGGCAAAACAAGAATAAAGCACCCCATGTTTGAGGGTTTATACCATCCATTTATTTTGATGTGGGGGATGGTTTATGAAATTGTTTCATTGACATGCTGTGGATGGAAGGAATCCTGCACCACTTGGTAACTAATGGTAAAGGTTAACAAAAATTGCAAACAGTGGGACTATAGTGGGATAAACCAAATGGTGCAGGATTTCTTCCATCCACTGTATCTTCCACTTATATGGTTGTTTCCTGAAATAGGGGTACCCCCAAATAATCCAATTTAATGGTATTTTCCATTATAAACCATCCAGCTATTGGGGTACTCCATGTACTCCATTTTATGGACACCCCCCATACGGTCTGGTAAACATTGGTAAACTAACATAACTGTGGGAAGTCACCATTTTTGATGGGAAAACTCACTATAAATAGCATTTTCAATAGCAAACTGTAACAAATTACCAGAGGGTACCAGGGTTTGGTATACCATCTATCATCATTTACCTGTCGTTAAAGGGGTAAACAAACCCCTCCATTAATCAACCAACCATTGGGAAAAGGACACCTATGCACCCCCATATCTTCAAACAAGCTTCTTCTTCACAGAATGGCGTCCAGAAGACTTCGTGAGGTTCGAAGAGGTGACGTGCGGCGACGGGTCGCTGTGCTTTGGGTTTGCATGTCGTGACGGCGCTCCCTTAGCACCGCTGGCAGAGTTGGTGCCATCCCAGGTGTGAACGGTTGACCATATAATTTTCCCAATCACCTAAAGAAAATGCGCAGGAAAACTGAATCTTTACGAACCATATCAAGGATCTAATCAAACATTTTAGCCCCCGAATATTGCGCAAGCGTGCAAATGGCAAGATGCCAAATAATTGAGGATACGAGTACCACCCAGCAACCATCAACAAGGTCACCTCCAGACGGAAAAAATACAGCATCGCTAGGAAGAAATAAAAACATGGGCAACCATTCTGAACTGGCTGGTGGTATACCTACCCCTCTGAAAAATATGAAAGTCAGTCCGGATGATTATCCCCAATATATGCAAAAATAGAAAATGTTCCAAACCACCAACCAGTGAAGGTAGTTTGTCGGACAGACATGTTTTGTTCCGGTTACCATTGTAAAAGCAGCCTTGCAAATGTCCATGATCAACTGCTAGCCATCATGGTCCATCAGCAGCCATTGTCATGATGGCTAAAACTGTGAAGGCTCCAATTTTAAACCATGAAAACAAATGAAAAAAATCCGTACCAACGACTATATGCGACGAGGTGCTGAACTCAGAGAGCCTTGTTGCAAATTTTGGACGATCTGCAGGACTTGCAACAAGGTGACTTGATGTTGACGATGGGATTCCTCCAATTTCAACAGAATCGCTTCCATCCTCAGAGCTGAGACAGGTTGATTTTCTGCAGCAAATTTCCGGTCAAACTGTTACTTGATGGCCCAATATGTTTCATGAATAAATACTTGTGACTCATCAAAGTTTATCATTCGCTATTATTGACGAGATAGGACTACAATCAAAAACCAAACAAACAAACAAACCCGTTCAATATGATTTTCCAACATACTTTTCGGCAATAGGGTGTCAGGAAATATAACAAACGAATACAAACAGAATGCCAGATAGAATGTCCGAAAAACTGCAAAAAACATGTCATAAGTAATGGCGAGTAGAATGTCAAAATATAAAAAAGTATAGGTCGGAAAAAAAAACTGACTTGGTGAGGGCCACCCGGCGGCTTCGCATTGCCATTTATTTTGAAAACTGTTAGTTTTGTTCTTCGCTATCTTTAACAAAATGTTCCTTGTCTTTGTTCGCTTGTCCTGTTTATTTTTATTGTTCTTAAAATTTACTACTTGAATTTGTGCCACCACCGTTTTCAAAAATCATTTGTGGACGTGCAAAAAAAACCGAACGTGGACGTCTCACAAGTTCTATATATATATATAAATATACATATATGATACAAAACCTGTTTCAGCAAACTCGTCAACTCCTGGATACTGTTGCGCAAGTATTTCATCCTATTGGTTCGGGGTCAATTTTTTTCCGGCCTCCAAGAAAACTGGTTGACCTTGACCTACGAGGTAATTATTTTCAACCCGCGGATATCTACCTAGTTTTTGTTTTCTAATGATCTATCCCTTTTTTTGTTTTAATTTGTCCTCACATCATACCTCCGCACCACCACATGTTGGCCCAGGCTGTCCTTGTGTCCGTCATCTCGCTGAGTTGGGTGTGGGTCGGTTGCATCGACGAAAACGACGAGAAATCCTTAGGAAACGCGTCCAGCATGTCGAAGGAAACGGGGGCCAATGTGCAGCTTGGCTGAACTGGCCAGGAAGATAACAACTTGAGCCGTGCGGCAGCATGTTTCCACAAAACCAAACTGCTACATGTTCAAGAACATTTCAATGCGTTACCTTTGTTCATTTGCAATATGCGCATACATGGGGCCGTCATGGGCGGTCCGGGAAAATTTTGATGTTTCATCATCATTCATTTGTTGGTAATAATACGTAATCTATTGGCAAAAAAACAGAATCAAAATTCATAAAAATTGGTGCGCGCTGATGGAGATTGCCCATTCTACATTGTCATGATCGGCGCCAGTGTCATATACTGATGCAACCAAATCCGTGGAGGACATGACACGGGAATGCACGCTGGATGCTGGATGCCGGGTGTGCCACCGTCTGTGTTTTTTTTTGAGTGTACTGGAGGCCCAACGCACCGTATCGAACAACCCCGCCTTCTTTCCAACATACATCGAAGTGGTGGGTATCGTTGCAAATTGCGTAGCCGGAACTTTCTGAACACCTTTTCAATTGAGTGAGTAGGATGTCAAAAAAAATCAATGAAAACCATTTCTCTCCTGATCATAATTCCTTGCACTCATTCCAAACGCTGTGACATATTGTAGGTACCATACCAAATTGATCCAAATTTAAAGCATAATTTTTGCACGTTTATTTCAAGCCAGAGGTAATAATGAACGTTTTTAACCAACTGAGACACCATGTTCTGCTTATTTGTTAAAGTTTGTGTGTTCAATAATTTTCGACCTCATTACCGGAAGAAACGAGCTAAGAATCGTGAATGTGACAAATCGTGAAAATTTGGAGGTGACGCAACTGAGCGAAACAAAATGTCGAACAAAATCAAAAACATATTGTAAGTGGTAACAAAAATGTAAAATCTGAAAAATCAAATTGAACAAACAAAAATGACAGAACAACACAAAAAAATCATCTACTTTCGCGGGCAAGCACGACAAGTTAGCACAGTTCAACACAATCGTGCAAACAGTTAAGAAAAATTGTTTTAAAAAATACGGAAGCTGGAAAACACTTTTTTTGGACCTCGTTACATTTCTTTTGGACCTGGACACTTTTATTGGACCTTACTACAATTCTTTTGGAGATGGCGACCCTTCTTTTGGACCTGCGCACCCTCCTGCTGGACCTCACCCTTCCCTTGGAGATGGCTACCCTTCTTTTGGACCTGCGCGCCCTCCTGCTGGACCTCACCCCTCCTGCTCGGCCTGGGCCATACCCCCTTTCGGTAGATTCTCCAGTTTCTGTCCGGGCGCGTCTGCATCGCAATTCTTCAGACAGTATAGGACGCAAGAGCTGCACTAGCATGCAACTGGGCAGGAAGTGCCATGTAGTGTTGTCTTCACAGCTTGAACCGACTTGGACACTCGTGCCCGCGAGCCACACCTCGCAATTCTTCAGACGGTAGGGGGCGAGAACCGCGCTAGCAGCGTCTGCATCGCAATTCTTCAGACAGTAGGGCGGTAGAGTGCACTAGCATGCAACTGGGCAGGAAGTGCCATGCAATGTTGTCCTCACAGCTTGAACCGACTTGGACACTCATCCTGGGTCACTGGTGAGTTCGTTGCTGCTTGCGAGGGGTATCGCCAGTCTAGGGGCCAAAACTCCAACCTGTGTGACAGGAATGACAGCTACCCTCCGCGAGCCACACCTCGCAATTCTTCAGACAGTAGGGGCTAGAGCCGCGCTAGCAGCTAGCATGCAACATGGCAGGAAGCCTTTCCTGTACATGGCCTGCTCCCAAACCATACCCCCTTTGGATAGATTCTCCAGTTTCTGTCCAGCTGCATCTTGATCGCAATTCTTCAGGCACAGTTCTTGCATTCATTTTTTTCCACTATCTAAACTCTAAACTTCACACCCCCGCCCTCTTCCCCAATATGCTACCTTACGCGTCTTTGGGTTGCAGATGGTGCAGGGAGATGCATCTGAGATGTTCGCATTTTATATTATCAAATTTCAAGAGTAATGCTCTGTGGGGGGGTACGGTCCTCAAAAATGATGGTACGGTGAAGGGTGTGGTACGTTGGGTACGGTGGTACGGTACGGTGGGTACAGTCGGTACGGTACGGTGGGTACGGTGGGTACGGTACGGTGGGTACGGTGGGTACGGTACAGTGGGTAAGCTGGGTACGGTACAGTGGGTACAGTGGGTATACGGTACGGTGGGTACGGTGGTACGGTACGGTGGGTACGGTGGGTACGGTACGGTGGGTGCAGGTATACGCTGAATCATCAGAAAACATGCTTTTCATTCCTCTTGAAATTAGATAAATTTTATATTTCACAACTCCGTACTGTTTCCTGCCCTGCCCTGCTGCGCCTCCCACTCTCCACGGCGATGGACAAACACGCTGGTGATGAGGTGTGACAACAAACCTGTGCGCAAGCGGGAGTCAGTCAGAAAGCTGGGGCAAAGTTCCCGTGGCTGTAGCCGACTTCCCATGCACCTGCGCACGCACGCACACACACACACACAACACCCTTGCGGATCTGGCTGGCTCCTACGCCTTGACACATGTCAACATGTCATGTGGCAACATGTCCTGTTCGCTCGCAACGCTCGCTGCTTCCGACCTAGTCCGCTCCGCGCGCATGCATATGCCAGTCCCTTTTTCTTCTCCTTGTCTTTGACGGGCGCTGTCGTCTCATGTCCTCGCAACGGGTGTGCTGGAATGCTTTCTCTTTCGGCCTCGTTTCCTTTGTTCCGGTATGCTCCTCAGATCTACCCTTTGGTCCCCTGTCAATGCCTTCACAAACGCAGCATGTTCACAATCAGCGCGCAATGCGAAACTCAAACATGCACAGAGAAACGAATCCACCGGTTCACCGAGCCGCCGCCGCTGCCGCGGCCAAGAGGAATTGGGGAGGTGTCCTTGCATGACATTGGCGTGCTCGAGGAAACACCTTCGCAAAGCTGACACATCGAGATCTCCTCCGTTCTCTCACGTAAACACGCCCAATTCGATCAAAGCAGCCACGAGAGATTTGCCTTCCGCCGCAATGGCTTTGCAGAGCAGACTTGCAAACTTTGGATCTATGCTCATCTCTGCCGGTGGCACTCCATTCTGTTTCAAACTTGCCATTACCCAGATCTTTGTCACCGTCGCTGGGTCTCCGCTGTCTGCCGGGCCGGTTCGCAATGAGATGGACGCATGGTTCTGCAAGCCTGTGATTTTGGTTTCGCGGTGCTTCCAGAAGTCGAGTGCTGGGGACCGCTTGGTGCTTCTCAAGGTTTGGCCGTTCAGCAACGCCTCTGCTGGCCTGTCTGGCCATGTAATGAACTCACTCTTGCTGGGTGCCCCATTCAAATTGTTCTCGCCACTCCTCCCGAAAGAGCTTCTGCATGACAGCGAAAATTTCCAGAGGGGATGCACGAGCATCCCGTTTTTTACCTTCCTTTGCCAGCTCGAATGGAAGCTTTCCGTGCACTGTGACCCAGACCCGCTCCCAGGATACGTGCCGATGATTCCAACCCAAAAGCCGGCAAACCACAGCTTGTTCTGGTCCCAAGAACCAGTACTGCACAGGTATTGCCTTCGTAAGACCTCTGGCGTGACTATCTGGAAATATTGTTTCTGGAGGTATTCTACTGCCTTTTTGTTTTTCGACCCGGGCCATTTGAAGGCGCGATGCCAAACTGCATCAAAGAGCTGTACGGTGGGCAGCGTGCATCATACAAGGTGCTGCAACAATATTTGAACTCGTCATATCCGTCCACTCCAAGTGCGAAAAAGGAGAAGAGCAGCAAAAAAGAGAGCAACTTCGATCTGCTAGAAACAGTGATCGGCACGAGCAGGCTTCTCCATGTGGGCATAGTCATCACATGGCCTCGAATTTTTGAAGGCCTCCTTCCTTGCCTTCTCAATGCCACCGCCAAAATCCTTGTGCAGCTGCCAGACTTGCGACTGGAGGTCAACGTCACAATATTTCTGTGCTAACCGAACAGCGGCTGTGAAGAAATGCTGGACATTTTCGGCGCCTTCAGTGAACGGTTCATGTGAGCAAGTGTGCGCTTCTATTGTTTTGGTTCGGCTCCGCGCAGCATGGCTGAAACCAAGCCTTTCGTTGGACACCAAGAATGACAGGGTTACTATGGTGCACTGGTTCGCAACAATCCGTTGCTTGCCGTCCACCACTAACCTGACAACTTTGTTTTGCGCGCCTTTGCGTTTGAGAATCATGCCCCAGCATGTCCACATGACGCAAACCTGGCTAGCATTCATTAATAGCCTCGGGCAGAACTATCAGTTGATCCAGAGGCACATTCCTCCACGGAGCATCTGCCTCCCAGTGAGTTGCCGGGACCATGTATGGCCCCGCAGCTGCCGCCAAGTCTGCCACTGTGATTTTGGCCAACCTTGGTTTTGCCGCTTGCTGGCTTTGCCGCTGTCGGGTGACATTGTTGTACAGTTGTCCTTTTGTGCATCGGAGTGGTAGCCCTGCTGCGCGCAATCCTTGTCGCACGAGGTCAACAGTCACAACATTTTTGCCCACTGCTGCTTCTATGGCATACATCTCCACCGAGGTCCAGAGGCGCCCACCCTGAGGAGGTTGTAACTGCCCATGTTGGCCCTTCACCCATACACAAAAGAGGTCTCCACTGAAAGCAGTTTTCACCTTGCGCGTGCAATTCGCACATGCAGTCTCTCTGCAGTGTGCAAACAGCTTGTCCTGCTTCTCCGTTGATTCATCATGGACCTTGTAGATACCTGGATCTTTGGCCTCCCCTAAACATTTCTCGAGCGCTTCCCGGAAGGCATCCTGGGACTGAAACCTTCTCTGCCTCCTTTCTTCACGCAGCAATGTCCATTCAATGGAAACGTCCAATGCCACTCGTCCAGATGTTCCAGAATCTTGCCTTGTATCACCTTGCGGCAAGGTCTGCTGTCTGGCCGCCTCCGGCTCCCCCGCCTCGTTGCCACGCTGTTCGACGACTGCCTCAGGTCTTGATGGCGG